CTGCTGACTAGGTATGAGTTGTGAGCCACAAAACAGCCAGAGATAAGAGGGCTTGGCCAGGTTGGACTTGCTTTAATGAGCATAGTCAGTCAACCCGAATAAACAATTCCCTTGACAAGACGCCATCCAAACGGAGTTGACCCACGATAGAGGAACGTGAGAGGTCTACTACCATATCAAGTCTGAAAGGCTTGATGCTTCCTTACTGTTGTTTCTGCATTCGCATATGGGTGACTGGCTGTGCGAGAACCATGACACAACACAGTACTTTGCTGTTTATGTCCGAGCACAAAGGCAAGAAAAGTCGGTGGGGGCGTAAGTGGGTGTTGTTGGATGGTGATATTCTCCGGCCGTGGCGGAGTGATAACTGAGTAGGTGTAACTAGTCTGACTATCAATAAACTTACTCCTTGTGTACACACAGAGCTGGCTAGACAACACGATCAACGCACCGGAAATCTATCACGCTCTTCAAATCTACGTGTAATCTCTCGATAAGAAGATACATTTGCGATTCAATGTGAAGGGTATGCGACTCGCTCGTAAAGTGTCTCCGTATTCCCCTGCTGCGGATACACAGCAGACCGAACAGGCATCTGCAGCTCTTTGATACCAACGTACCAGCTGTGGAGACAGAACTAGAATACTGATTGAAATGAAGGAATGGGGCAAGATGCAGGACCTCTGCTGTCACCCATATCGGACCAGAACTGGAGCTACTTTTGGCGGGCTAGTACATTGACACAACCACGGACAATATTTGGTAGGATTACCGGAGAACAGTTCGTTTATAACCAGGCTTTCTCTAGTATGTGCTATAAAAAATTCATCGCTATTCTACACGTACAGCACCTCAAGTCTCTTTTGCTGTCCAGCTATGAAGCGGTATATCCGTACAGGGTGACCGGGTCTTGTGTATAATGGGAAAACAACATTTGTCTCGATATTAAGGACATAATTTAGAAAGGCTATCTTGAGTGTTAGCATTCGTTCGTGTGCATGACAATAGGATCCCACATACGTTGTCCTCGGGGGCGATGGTGCGGTCAAAGTACTCATCGAGGAAGGGGACCTTCTGGAGGATGTCACGGCGGACACGGGGGACCTCGCCGAAGAAGAACAGAAGGAAAACACCGGCGCTGACACCGAAGCCGCTGGCAATGGTAGCACTGTTGTTTTGATCGTACGTTAGTAGACGCTCTCGCAATGCCATTGCCGTTTCGGAAATTGGCGCGAATACGGCACGTTCGAACACAAGGCGGAAGACACTCACGCAGTGACAGCGGACCGGGTGGTAAGACCGTGCCAGTGGAGGGGAGTCGAGTATCTAAATCATCGAGTAAGTCTGTTAGCCGTAATCCTCTCATGCATCTTCCGTTGTTCCAATCTGTGTATGCAGCAGTTCGCCTTGAGTCGGCCCCCGCTTAGGCACAAACGGAGCTCTTTATCGATCAGATGCTCTGTCATATCAACAACCGCTGAATGGAGCGAAGCGGAGCTCCGCAAGGGCCGGTCCAGTGCCAGCCTTCATATATGTGCTGGGACGAAGGTAACGATGATTCTGGGGTATATCTCACTTGGGACCGAAGGGAGAACGGTAGCCACCGGCGTTCTGAGCCGCAGCGCGGCGAAGAGTCTGAGAGAAAACCTACACGGACAACGGTTCACGTTAGTTAACAATTTTTATCCCTTTCCATAGTCTATCACCGTGACATAGCCGGGTCCGGAGTTGGCCACTAATCAACTGGACGTGACAACTTGAAGTCATGCGACTCTCAGACTGTCAGCCCAGTGAGGGTCTATCGGCATGTACATACCATTTTGTTTGAGGTCGAAGGAGGCACACTCTGCTCCAGTAAACGATATGAGGCTGCAATTACACGTTGAAAGCTGTCGACGAAAACCGGGAGACTCCGCGACGTTCTCGTCCGACCGCCCGCGGCCAATCAGCCGGCCGAATCGAATTTCACGTGACCAGAAGCTTGTCGAATCAGATATCGCGCATTTCCACACCTCATGCCCCCACGAAGTATGGAAGTATACAAGCTCGTCGTATGTGCCAGCAAGCTACTACGACGTGAAGAAAGTGAGAGAGCGGGACTAGTCCCAGTATATCAAGATTTGTAGCATAAAGGACAAAAAAATAGAATTGCAGAGGAAAATTGGGTAATAGAAAAAGAAAAAAAAAGCTGACTGTACACCACCCCCATTCACAATTTAATCTACTTTGCCCGTGGAACCACCATTCAAGAGTCCTTCCTTGCCATCGAGGTTGAAGAAACCTCCGCTAGAGTTCCCAGTGACACCGAGGATACCGCCTCGACCTCCGCGTCTCGCCGCTCTGCCTCGAGCCACGAATGTGGCACCGACAATGGACAGGATCAAGATTATGACGAACAAAATCGGATGCCCGCTGATGAAAGAACGAGTGAAGAAGAAGATCGACTCAAAAGTGCCAATGGTAGACTTGGGTGTGAGCTTAGGAGGGTTGGCAACCACAAGAGGAATAGTTTCGAGAATCGAAGTGCGAGAGGCCATAATGGATGCTCCGCTGGAGGACGTATCCCAGTAGCGGCGGTTCTAAGACAAAGTCAGTCAAATGTACAACAAGTGGGGCTTATCACCTGCGAGAAACTTACATCTTGGTCGTTAATAATGACACGCTCTCCGTTCTCCACATCGATACCAAACTGAGTCCGTAGCCACCGCTCCCAGAAATCACCATCGACCCAAGCAAAACCGACCTGCTTCTTGTCGTCTTCGCGGATGGTGATACGCATGTTTTTAGCAGCCCGAAGCGCACGTTGGTCGTTGCGGTCCTCAGCCTCTTCAATCCGCAATTGTTTAGCATCCCGCAGCTCGGCGCGCTCCAGCTGGAACAGCTGAACCTGCTTGTCCATCCATTCATGGGCCGCATTCTTCAGCTCTCTCTTAGACTGCAGGAACTCATCCGAGTGCTTGCGGCTCAAAATACCTAGTACAACATATTTCCCATCCATAATTTCACGAGCGTTGGATGCCGTAAGCTCGGGGACAATAGGCAGCCAAACAGACCGCATCCATCCCAGGATTTGCCGGAAGTCCCGCATATCCTTGGGAGCGAGTGCGTTGTAGTAACTTGGGCGACCGTCCCGGGACACCAAAAGACGAGGCCAGGTAGAAATCTTGAACCTTTCAGCGAGGGCGCCGCTGTTAGTCTTGACTAGTCTGGCATGTCCGACCAAGCTAAGAGTCAGACGTTCAAGAGCCTTGAAGTCCTCCGAAGTCGTTGCGTGGTCGTAGAAATAGAGGAAGATGACGTCCTCTTTCTCTTCCAGTTCCTTGAAAGTGGTAGCGTCCACATCCTGCACGCCGGAGCCGATCTCCACGGCCTTGTTGGCATAAGTGACCAGATCACCCAAACCACGTAGACCATTGTACTCAACCCGTTCACCGCCACGGAAGAAATAAATCGTCGGAAATTGATTCACTCGGGCGTCCTTGCAAAGTCGAGTCTCGACATCACAATTTACTTCGCCGACGTTGAGGGTACCCTGCATCTCTCTGGCCATTTCTTGCCAATTAGGAGCCAATGCCTGACAGTGACCGCACCAAGGAGCGTAGAACTTGATGAACCAAGGGTCTTGCGTAGTAGTAACAAGCTTCTGGAAGCTTTCCGCCGTAAGAGGGACAGAAATGCCCTGAGGATTCACTGGACCGGATGGCTTAGCCTTGGTCTGCGCGGTATCCTTGGCAACAGGAGCATCACTAGAGGCAAGCTGCGCGGCCTGCTCATTGTGCTTCTCTCCAGCCTTAGCGCCAGCTTCAGGGTCTTTGTCCTTAGCTACAGGGGCATCGGGCTGAGCTTTGGTATCAACACTTGTATCGCCCGGCTTGGGCAGGTTCAAGCCTTGCGCAGGCCGAGAGCCAGGTTTGATCTGTTCCAGCTTCTCTTCGACAAACTCACTCAGTCCTTGCATACTCTTCTTTCCCGTAAATTGCTCAACCATCTCGCCATTGTGATACAAAGCGAAGGTGGGAAAGTATTTCACTTCCAACTTGCGGCACAGGTCCCCGTACACAAGACAATTCACCTCGGCGAAGTGGAAGTTGTAGAATTTATCGAAAGAGTTCAGGGACTTGGTATCGGACGACTTTCCAGAGGACGAGGACAGAGGATCCGAGGTCTGAGGAGAATTAGAGAACGCAGTGGGGGGTGAAGCCCTAGGGAGGCGACTTACATAGTAGAACTCATAGAGTGTCTGCCAAGTTGGCGCAATCTTTTGACAGTGCGGACATGACGGAGAGTACTCTTTGATAAACCTGAAAGGCCTGTTAGCCTCGAGCGGCCAATTTAACGTGGCGCATTGAAGAGTGTGCTGACCAGTAACCATCCTTAACGGTTTCGTCGAAATCATCAGGGGTCAAAGACCTGATAGGCGGAACCTCGATGCCATTGAAGAGAGTCGACTTGGGCTCGGTCGAGCCATCTCTCTTCGCGAGATGGTGCTTGGGAGAAGCATCACCGGCGGAGGTAGCCCACGTCGGGATGGAAAGGAGAGAAAGGAATGACCATGCCAGCAAAGATGCCCTCATGCTGGCTGTTGGTCAAGGACAAGAAGCCTTCGAGGTCCTTATTAAAAAAGAAACAAGAAGTGGGGTTGGTAGTGAGAGTCGAGATAAAAGTTATCAGAAAGCAAGGATTGGCCGTTCACAGGTGGCACATCGGAGTGGAAGTGACGGGTGGTCTAGAAACGAGTGGATCGCCAGTGAGTCGGGGAACCACTCAGACAGGGGGCAATCAGCAAGATTTCGGTGCTCCAAGAATATGCAGCAGATGTCTTGCGGAGTACGTCGATAGGACGACAAGCCACCAGACGAGGGAAAGGACGCAGGCGAGAAGGAGACCACCCCTATTATAAGATTACCATTCAACCAGATATCATTAAAATGATGGGCGGAGGCGGTAGGAGGAGGAAGAGGCGCAGGAGGGAGAACTCGGGGTTAGGTTCCTCCGCGATCCGGAACGGAACCTCAACCCTTCGTGCATCCATCCCGATTCAGTGTGCTCATCGTGAATGAACGACCCGATAAGTCACCCCGCTGCCGTTTGCCATTGGGTTTGATACCAACGCCCCTCTGGGTCACTCTCATTCCTTTCACTACCTCACACACCTACGCCCAGCATGAGGTCAACACTCCGGTTGCTGGCTAACGTCAAGCCGGCTCGGTACTTGGAGCCTTTCGCTCCCACCGGCTTGACCGGCCTGAACACTCACCCTAGCCCTCGTCCCACCCTGATCTTCCTTTACACATCGACCTTGAACAAGCTCAAGTCCTTCCCTGAGTCCTCCGTCTACCGTCAATCCACCGAGGCATTGACCCGCCACCGTCTGCAGATCATTGAGTCCACGAAGCCGCCTGGATTTGAAGCTTGGTTGGAGCGCGTGAAGAAGACCGTGGGCGATGAGCCTGAGCGCTTCTCTAGCCTTCTCCAAGCCAACGGCACGTACGCAGGTGCTGAGCGCCTCGATGGTAGCGACAATGCCCGTGGAGAGGAGTGGGATGGCGAAGCCTTGGAGGCAACCACTGAAGGCCCCGCTCGTACACCAGCAGAAGAAGCCCGTTTCACACAGCTCTTGGAGGAGGCTTCTTCTCCTAAGAACAATGAATCGGACTTCCACCCTGAGGAGAAGAAGTGGGAGGCCGAGCCCGCTCTGACGGCAGAACAGTATGCTGAGATTGCCCTCTTCAGAAGTGATTCATTGGGCGGAATGTGCTAATGTTTTTGCATATAGAATCTCTGAAATTGAGCAGCAAATCGGTGCCGGTCTTATCGAGGAAATCATTCAGGTCGCCGAGGGTGAACTGAAGGTTGTTGATGAGTTGTACAAGTCGAAAGCGTAAGTCGACATCAGCCTGGCTCTAACGATGGCATGAAATGTAATACTGATATGGTCACAGCTGGGAGGAACTTGAGGAGAAGGCTAGACCTGGCCAGTGGTCTTACTTCGAGCGCCCCGAGTAAGTGCTCGGCATAATAGGGTCTTCTCATGAACGACAGACTTGACTTAAGAATTCCCATTGTTTGTAATTATAAGTTTACGTGTGTCCAATCAAAACCAATCACAATTGCATGTAATGTATAGGTTGTTGTATGAGCTAAGGTTCGCAGGTGGATTGTGTCTGATTTACTGATAACCGCTCGTCGAACGGACTCATCATGCTGATTGTAAAGAATAATGGTTGGTGGCGTCTGATGCTAGTGCAGGATCTGTTATGGCATATGTGACTGTAAGGACAGCGTCCCGATTGAACAAGTTGATTTGTACATGCGCATAATTCAGAAGACCACCCAAGTAGTAGAGATGGAACTAGCCCGGGGCTACCCACGAGGAGGATGATGATCCAGAACCAAAGGCGGTGAGTCTCCCCCTGTCGCTAGCCGATTCCAGATAGCTGGCGGGATTCCCATCTCCTTGTGGACACATCGCTGTCACTTCTTGAGTATCTGCGTTTACCTCGGAGGCCATTCAGGCTGAGGATATTTCTCTTCTCTTTGCGCTCTTCGTATATCTTTCCTTCGGGAGTTCTTGACGTCCCCGGGCTGGGCTGTTTGAGCGGCTCGTGGCCTGGTTCCCCCTCCTTCTCACAGGCCGTCCTCCGACGCCGCATATAATCGCGACCTTCCTTCCCCACACAAGATGAAATTGGATGTCAAGGTATGGATGTCGACCCTGGAGGAGTTGCGAACCCTGCGTCAGACGACTTAGCATATGCTTGGTGTCGGAGTCTACGAACAATGTTCAAACCGCTGACTGTTGTTGTTGTTATTGAATAGAGACAGCTGTTCGCCCGCTCCGAGCGGGTGAAGGGCATTGACTTCCATCCAACAGAGCCATGGGTGAGTATTCTAGCCATCAGCAACTGTGGGCAGGCGCTGATATTTTCTAGATCCTTACCACACTATACAGCGGTGCGTTGGGAAATTGCATGTCGACCATCACCTCGAATGCGCTAATACGATCCAACAGGTCACGTCTACATCTGGTCCTATGAGACTCAAGTGAGTTGCCTTACCGTTACATCCAGTATGTCAAGATCGCTAAATTATGTTCTATCAGTCGATCATCAAAACCTTCGAACTTACCGATGTACCTGTACGAGCCGGTCGATTCATTGCCCGCAAGAACTGGATTGTCTGCGGTTCAGATGACTTCCAGCTTCGAGTTTACAATTACAACACCTCTGAGAAGATTGCTTCATTCGAGGCCCACCCGGACTACATTCGCTCAATTGCAGTACACCCCACGCAGCCATTCGTTCTGACCGCATCTGATGATATGACAATTAAGCTTTGGGACTGGGAGAAAGGCTGGAAGTGTGTCCAGGTTTACGAGGGCCACAGCCACTATGTGATGGGACTCTCAATCAACCCCAAGGATACCAACACGTTCGCATCCGCATGTCTGGACCGGACCGTAAAGATCTGGAGCCTTGGCTCACCACATGCCAATTTCACCCTGGAGGCCCACGAAACCAAGGGTGTGAACCATGTCGATTACTACCCGCAGGCGGACAAACCATATCTTCTCACCACCTCCGATGACCGGACCGTTAAGGTGTGGGATTACACTACGAAAGCGCTCATTGCTACTTTGGAGGGACATACAAGCAACGTTTCTTTCGCTTGTTATCACCCGGAACTGCCCGTCATTATCTCCGGCTCTGAAGACGGAACCATCAAGATTTGGCATGCGAACACATACAGACTCGAGCAGTCCTTAAGCTACGGCTTGGAGAGAGCGTGGTGTGTCTCTTACCAGCGAGGTCGGCAAGGCGTTGCGATCGGTTTCGATGATGGTGCAGTAGTTGTGAAGATGGGACGGGAAGAGCCAGCTGTTTCCATGGACGGCTCAGGAAAGATTATCTGGGCCAGACACAATGAGGTTGTCTCGACAGTGATCAAGGGTGGCGATGCTAGCATTAAGGATGGTGCGCCACTTTCCCTGCCTACGAAAGAGCTGGGATCATGCGAGGTCTACCCTCAGACCCTGTCCCACTCTCCCAACGGACGGTTTGTCTCGGTCTGCGGTGATGGCGAGTACATTATCTACACTGCTCTTGCGTGGCGCAACAAGGCATTCGGGCAAGCCTTGGACTTCGCTTGGGGTTCGAAGGACAACAGCAATGACTATGCCATCCGCGAGTCGACCACCAGTGTCAAAATTTTCAAGAACTTCAAGGAAGTCAGCGGCGGGCTTGATGTAGGCTTCCAAGCTGAAGGTCTCACAGACGGTGTGTTGTTGGGTGTCAAGGGTCAAGGCGGAATTGGTATGTTTGACTGGGAGACTGGAAACCTGGTCCGCCGCATTGAAGTCGACCCCAAGGCTGTAAGTAACAGGAACTGAGATTCCCTCACTGGATTGTCGCTAACAACTCACTTAGGTATACTGGTCCGAATCTGGAGAGTTGGTGACTCTTGCCTGTGAGGATTCTTTCTATGTCCTCCGATACTCCCGGGAGAACTACATTGAGGGCTTGAACGCCGGCGAAGCCGACGAAGATGGCGTGGAGTCCGCTTTCGAGGTTGTCACGGATGTCAACGAGTCTGTTCGCACGGGTCAGTGGGTTGGAGACTGCTTCATCTATACGAACTCGACGAATCGCCTCAACTACCTGGTCGGCGACCAAACCTACACCATCTCCCACTTCGACCAGGGTATGTATGTCCTTGGCTACCTGCCCCGTGACGGCCGCGTCTACCTTGCCGACAAGGATGTCAACGTCGTATCGTTCGGCCTGTCTCTTAGCATGGTCGAGTACCAGACGGTGGTTTTGCGCGGCGACCTGGACACGGCAGCGGAGCTGCTCCAAGACGTTCCCCAGGATCAGATGAACAAGGTGGCCCGCTTCCTGGAAGGCCAAGGGTACAAGGAGATGGCACTCGAGGTTGCAACCGACCCGGAACACCGCTTCGAGCTGGCCCTGGCTCTGAACAACCTCGAGATTGCCCTCGAGATCGCCCGCGAAGCCAACGTCGAGCACAAGTGGAAGATCGTCGGAGACGCCGCCCTCGCCGGCTGGAACCTGGAGCTGGCCCAAGAATGCTTCACCAATGCCAAGGACGTGGGCTCCCTTCTCCTGCTGCACACCGCCAGCGGCAACAGGGACGGGCTCCGCCAGCTGGCCGCCCAGGCCTCGGAAGCCGGCCTGCACAACGTTGCCTTCTCCACCTACTGGTCCCTCGGCGACGTCGACGGCTGCATCGACCTCCTGGTGCGGACGAACCGTCTCGCCGAGTCCGTCCTCTTCGCCCAGACCTACAAGCCCTCGCGGGCCCCCGCCCTCGTCGCCCAGTGGAAGGCCTCTCTGGAGTCCAACGGAAAGACCAAGATCGCCCGCCTCATCGGTATCCCCCCCGGCACCCCTGACGCCGCCGCAGATGATGACCTCTTCCCCGAATGGGACGAGTACATCCGCCTCGAAAACGAGGGCGGCGCCGCCGCTGCTGCTCCCGCCGTCCCCGAGCCTCCTTCGTCCGAGTCCCTGATCGACGTCCACGGCGACGAAGAGACCGCAGACAACGGTGCCCCCGAAGTACAACCTGAGGCGGATGATGCGGAGGTCGTTGCCGAGGATGAAGCTGAAGAGGAGGAGGAGGAGGACGACGACGACGAGGAGCAAGAGAAATCCGAGTAGAAACCACCCACCTACCGACCATCCCGCTTAAGATAGACCTTCTGTTTGTGTTGTGTTTTGGTTGTGGCATGGTATGTGTGTATGTTTGTGCTTGTATTTAAATCCCCGTGGGAGGACTGTGCCGTAGGATGAGAGAGAGGCCTATGAGAGGAAAAAGAAGAAAGTTTCCACAGCGCCCTCTTTTTCTTTGCCTCTGCTTGCATCTTGTTTCACATTTCCATCCCATTCTTCATTTAATTCCCCGTCTTCAATGTATTGACAAACAGCTAAATCTTGCTTGCGTGGGATATCCACCCCCCTTCCTCCTCTTTTCTCTTTTCTGATCCAATTTCCCCTTACATAGCTATTTGATTTTCAGACCTGTTCAATATGAATCAATATATGTCACTTGTTCTCTTGCAATAATGTATAGCCTGTCTCAACTGGTCAATCGAGCCAAGAATCCTTATGTGAAGTTCATGGTCTACCTACCTAGTGTCTATGTGCTACTTACAGCCGCCAAACCAATCACATCTACGCATTCAGACCATATACATTGGGTCGTACTTTCGTTGCACCAGAAACAAAAAACGTCAATTGTTGTCTATGAGCCAGCCACATCGTGAGAACAAAGTAAGGAAAGTTCATTTCCCGTAGTTCTTTCTTTCTCCCCGTCCCTCCATTCCCCGTAATCAAACCGAAAAGCAATAGCAGGAAAGGTATCGAGCTATAGAGAAAATAGAAAACAAGATGTCTAGGTCGAGACCGCCGGCACAGTAACTCATGCATTTTTTGATGTTCGGTGGGTGGGCAAAAATTGGGCTCGAAAATCCCAGATGGACGCCAGTTTCTCCAGGAGACAAGAAAAAAAAAGCCTCGGCAAGGTTCGATTGGATCAGGCCAGCAGACCAAAGTCAAAAGCGTCAAAGGCTGGATAGACCGAGACCAAGAGGAATATTGGGGATCTGTTAAAGTCCGGTTTGTTGGCGCGGAGGAGAGAGGAGCGACGGCGTGTCGCCGCCTCTGCCGCTTGAGCGTCTCTCCAAAAGACACCTGGCAGCCTGAGACTTCACTGAAGTAGACGAACCCGAGACAAGAGTGAACAGACACGGTCGCGATGAATGAAGGGAAAGACAGGAATTGAGAAATGGACCAAAGGGACCTGCCTCGATTGTATTGGATGCAAAACCATGTAGGTTAAAAAGGAACACACAAAGCGCTCAACTAGGATCACTGCCATGGAGGAAAAAAGCAAAATCTCGACGAAAAAGCCTCACGTACTCCCTGTGCTGGTAGAGGAGATAAGAGAAGGGAGCGAAAATGAAGAGAGAAACCCGAGCTACATCGCAGGCAGGATATGCAGATGGAAAGGGAACAGATTGAAGAAAATGTTTCAAACAAATCCTTCTCCGTGTTTTGATGTCACATTGTGTTTGTGTTAAGTCCACTTCAAGAACGTTCAGTCGATGGTGACAGGCAAGAAGGCTTTTACTCGGTAATGCTTCCGAAGGAGGGATCCTTGACACTGCCACCAGCATCGCCAAGACCAGCAACCGGACGGTTGTAAGACCAGCCTTCGAACTGTTGTTGCATCGTCTGCGACAGAACAGGACCATCGACGTAGGAATCTTGTGGGGCCTCCGACGTGAATTCACGGTCGAAGTTAGTGGTGTCGCGAGCACCCAGCTGCATCGATTAGTATACGATAACGATAACAATAACAGTAAAGATATAGTGACTAAACATACCACATTGGGTCGGAAGCTTGGCTCATACTTCCTTTGGAGCAGCTTGCGCCAATCGATGTTGGCAAAGAAGTGGTGCGACTTGATCTCCGCGGCACCATTGGCACCCAGTCGACGCTGAGGATCACGGTCGAGTAGTCGCGTCAAGAGATCCCGAGCAGCGGGAGGAACAATGTCGGTGCTAGGGAACGTCAAAGGTTCTTGCAAAATCTTACGGTACATGTCGTTCGTGTTCTCGTCGTAGAACGGGGGGAGACCCGTCAGCATCTCATAAAGGAGGACACCTAGGGTCCACCAGTCGACAGTCTTGGTGTATCCGTTGCCAAGCAAGAGCTCGGGGGCGAGGTATTCGGGAGTACCACAGAAGGCTATTGTTTCAAGACTGGTTAGTCGATTTGAGGTTAGGTGTGTACTCCGGGGGAGTCTTACTGTTCGTCCGATCCTCATCCTTCATGTCCAACTTACACAGACCGAAGTCGCACAGCGCGATATGGCCAGTGTAATCGAGAAGAATGTTCTCGGGCTTGAGATCACGGTAAATGACCTTGAAACCGTGCAGACATTCCAAAGCACAGAGAAGCTCAGCCGTGTAAAACCGAGCGCGGTTGATATCAAACCGCTGCTCCCGCTGAAGATGGTGGAACAGCTCACCTCCGTTGACAAAGGCTAGAACAAAATACAATTTCTCCGGCGACTGGAAGGAGAACTTCAACGGGACAATGAAAGGATTGTTGATCTGTGCGAGCACTGATCTCTCCGCCAGGGTGTGTGTCACCTCGGAGCGGGAAATGATGTGAGCTTTGCGAATGGTTTTGAGGGCGTAGATCCGACCCGTATCCTTCTTCATGACCTGCATGACCTTGCCAAAACTGCCCTTACCAACGACCTTAAGAAGTTCGAAATCCTCCAGCTTCATGCTGCGGTGTTTGTTCTCGACGAACGAGACACCAACCTTAATGGAACCGGAGCCGAATTGAAGATCCAACCATTCCGCGCCAAGTTGGCCAAGCTGACGCTCTTGTGGCTGCTTGTTGTCCTTCTTACTCTTAGGATCCTCTGCGTGTGGCAGAGCTTCCTCAAAACGAGGATGAACCTTGACAGCACCGAGGAAAATATCCTCACTGCGACCGGCACCTGGACGAGCAGCAGGGTTACGAAGATAGAGCTGGACATTCAATTCGGTTTTGCGCGAAACGTCGAACTTGTAAGCAGTGTTGTCGCCCGCCCAGAGGGGGTTTTCCGGTGATCCAGACACGGCATCGACGAAGACCTGATTCTTCTCGAAATCCAAGAGAGCGTAAGGAAGGTACTTGGTGGAGTAGCGACCATGAATGGTGGGGGCAGCATTGATGCCTCCGCTCGTCGACTGTGGACGGGCGCTTTGTACGAAGGACCCGGCTTGGCCATGCGCGGAGTGGGAGGAGGATGAACTGGGACGCATGCCATAGGCATTGTTGCTCTGGAAGTGCGAGTTGAAGATTTGTTGATAATGAGGTGAAAGAGCGAAACCTCGACCTTCATGGAGGGTGACAATCAGAATACCGGGCTTGACAGGGGCCACGGGCGGGGAGACCAGAGATTCCGAGGCATCTAAAAGCGGGAGGGTTTGTTAGGACGGTCGGCGATCGGATGAAAGGGGGAGGCAAAAACAGTGGGCAAAAGCAAACATACTGATCCCGTTGGAAATGGATGGTGAGATCGAAGGCGTTTGCGAGGCCACAGGAGTCTCTTCGCCGGAGTCACCCTTGATGGTGGATGTGGAGGACGACCGCCCGAAGGTTTGGGTCAAAGGAGCGAGGTGGGTTTCCTTTAGTTCTGTCGGCCAAGAAAGATGAGAAAGAACGTCCGTTAGCCTGCATGACCGATAATTGGAACACCAAAGCACCTTGGGGGGTTACATACTTCTAGTGATTTTCCACGACATTGTGACGGTGGGTGCGAGGAAGTGGTGAGGGGGGTAATCAGGAGAAGAAGAGACGAGGAGGAGGAAGGGAAAACCGATCTGTCCAGGGACAGATGTTTATAAACGGGGAAAGACAAAAGTATGGATGAGAATAGGGAGGAAAGGCCAGAAGGAGTCTGGGGAGGCCTAGGAATAGCAAAAGACGAGCGAGAGCCAGACCAGTCAAGTGCAGTTGATAGAATGCAGAACCGCCACAGCCACAGCGGTCAGCAACAGGAGGAGAGAGAGGGGGAAAAGAGAGGGGGGGGGGGAGGGGAGAATGGAGGAGGATTGAGCGATAACACGGGCAGCGATACAAACTACCTATCCACTGTACAAGAAACCAACCTCCGACGTGCAAAAGATGGAGGAAAAGGTACAAGCCTAACACGAGACAAAAAAAGTTTGACACAAAATGAGTACAAGATAGAATTTTAGAGAGGGACTTGGTTGATAAGACCGAGCGAGTAAGAAGGAGCGAAAATGGGGAAGGGGAAGAAGAGGGAGAGAGACTTTGAAAGAGGGGAGAGGGGAGGGGGGGTGGTTTGTTGGATGAGACTCTGGCTCTGGCAGTGCCGCAGTGGAATAAACCAACAGGGACAGAACGGGAGGCCTCAGGGCTGAACAAGTGGAGGGTGGAAAAGAGATGATTGGGTCAGGCACATCGCTGCCTTAACACTGCAGTACCTTTTGACATCTTGACACCTCAACACCTTAACACCTGAGGCATAAACTCTCCTGAAACGCGCACAGCGGCGGTGCAGCCCACTCTGTTTCCCTCCCCTGACCACACCGCTAGTCCTAAACAGGAACGGGCAGCGCACTCGCCCCAGTAACTCAGCCACCGCCCAAATTGGATCATGTCCGCCATTTACCTACCTTAGGTTGGGAGGGGCCCGGAAATCACACCTCAGGCTCATCCGACCACTCAGTGCACCAGCGTCTATCCCGGACTGGAACGGGGAACGACTGCCGACCTCACTCAGCTCAACCTCTCTACCTAGTCACTGATGCACTTCCCGCTCTCCTCAGCCTCTTGTTAGCGATACCACCCTTGCTATCTGTACTATCTGATCGTCTGTCCAAGAACTCCGCTGACCATCATTACGATCTGACGTGACCTGCTGTCCCGCTGTTTCCCCGGCATTTCCCTACTCATTCCTACCCGGTAACTCGGCGGAGACACTCTTCAGACAGCACTGCATCCCTTGGGCGGTCTCGACCACTCTGCGGTCTCTTATCGGCAACTCAACGTCCCCTCCCCCAAATCTATTCCCCGCGCAAGCTTTCTTCTTCAAATAAATTATAGCCCTCGTCCTTGACTGGAGGGCGCGCCGGTGTGGTCGCAACGGACACGGGAACAGTGGAGGATGAGAGGGAACCGCGCTCGATGGGTGTAATACGGAAGAAGACCGCCTCGCGCGGCACCGAAGCAGGCACCAAATATCATTGCGATATCTGCTCGGTTGACGTGACTTCGACGGTATACCCCCCTCCCCCCCCCCCTCTGATATTTCAGATATGCCTGTATGCCGTCTGTGGTTGTTTACAAGACCTAACCTCGTCCGCGCCTTGTAGGTTCGCGTATCCTGTGCCCATCCCTCCTGCCACGAATATGACCTCTGCGTTCCCTGTTTCGCAGCCGGGGAGAAATCAAAAAACCATGACCCTTCCACACACCCTTTCCAAGTGATCGAGCAGAACTCGGTGCCCATCTTCCAGGAAGACTGGGGTGCTGACGAGGAGCTTTTGTTGCTGGAAGGTGCTGACATCTACGGGCTGGGGTCATGGGCCGACATCGCCGATCACATTGGAGGCTACCGCACCAAGGAGGAGGTTCGAGACCACTACATCAGTACATACATTGACAGCCCCAATTTCCCGCTTCCAGAGCGCGCCGATCCTGACGACACCCGCCTGTCCGACTCCATATCGAAGGAAGAGTTCCAATCGCGAAAGAAGCGACGCATCGAGGAACGCAAAGAGGCCGCTAAGGCCGCTCCCCCGACCACGCCCAAGCAGAAGCCCACCGCTAGTGTTCCAGCGTGTCACGAAGTGCAGGGTTACATGCCGGGTCGGTTGGAGTTCGAGACCGAATTTATGAACGATGCGGAAGAGGCGGTGCAGCATATGACCTTTGAGCCTGGTGCGGGCGAGACCGCGAATGGTGAGCTGGATGCGGAGATGGAGTTGAAGATGACGGTGGTGGACATTTACAACTCGCGCTTGACGGCGCGCACGGAGCGCAAGAAGGTTCTCTTTGAGCACAACCTGCTCGAGTACCGGAAGAACACGGCGCTAGAGAAGAAGCGTACGAAAGAAGAACGGGACCTGCTAAACAAGGCGAAACCGTTTGCCCGGATGATGAATCACGACGACTTTGAAGAGTTCAACAAGGGACTGGAGTACGAGCACAACCTGCGTCTGGCCATCGCGCAGCTACAGGAATGGCGGCAGATGGGGATCGGGGATCTGAAAGGTGGCGAGAAATACGAGCAGGAGAAGCAACAGCGCGCCCAGAGGATGGCGCCGCAGGGCTCATTTGATCGATTCGCAAGCACACGGCCGAAGCAGCAACAGCAGCCCGAACAGCCGTCGGCGGCTAGTCAGTTGACCACGCCAGAGCTGCCACTGCGGCTCCAGAAGGCCTCAGGCATCCCTGGTGCCCCCAAAGCTCCCGAGCCTCCCAGTCAGCCAATGAACGACTTTGACCGGATGTTCGCCTCCAACGGGGACGGGATCAGTACGCCGACGCCGCCGGCGAAGACCAAGTTCATTGTGCAACCGCTGAACGGGGTGATTCCGTGGAAGCTGGAGAACGAAGCTGCTCCGGATCTGCATTTGCTGACAAAGGAGGAGGTAGAGGTGTGCAATGTGCTTCATATTCAACCGAAGCCATACCTGGTCATCAAGGAGACACTGCTGAAGGAGTCGATGAAGCAGGGGGGCAGTTTGAAGAAGAAGGATGCACGGACCATTTGCAAGGTAATGCTGCTCTGTCGTTCTGACTATCGACGATGTACTGACAATTTCACAGATCGACAGTGCCAAGACCAGTCGGATCTATGACTTTATGGTGCACAGTGGCTGGATCAACAAGGGGTGATGTGCTACACGATTACCCCGATGTGTGTGTGTGTGTGTGTGTGTGTGTGTGTTTTGTAACGGAGTTGGGTGGCGTTCGGAACGGCAGGATGGATGCTGATGTGATTTGAATTGTATTGACCGACATGAATGATGCATAGCTTGATCTGACTAGTGTATGGTGTAGTAGATCTGTTGGAGTCTAAGTCCTAAACACTCTGCTTAATTCTCCTCAAGCTCATAACATGCTGTAAATCGCGTATAATGATAAGTGCTTAGCGCCTCGATCTACAAGCCGAGCAGAGCCCAGAGAGTGAAAAGTGAGCTAGGTCGAACCTCGGCAACTCCACCTTGCCGTACATACTCCACCTCCACTCCAGAGTCCAGTCTCCAACATCCCCTTCCCGAAAGCTTCCCCATAAATACTAACTTACATAGCCTAGAACAACCACCACCAACAATAGCATCGAACATATCCCAACCTCAGTCCTCCCCTTCTCCGCACAGCCAAAAACAAGATCCCAATCCCAACCCTAATCCCCCCTCTATTCGAATCCCGCAACCAACACCCCCGAAGAAAAAATGACCACCCCGACCGCCAAATACGCCTCCCTCTCTTTCCCCCTCCCCCACATCCTCCTCGTCACCCTCAACCGACCCCGCGACCTCAACTGCATCAACACACAGGGCCACGCCGAACTCGACGCCATCTGGCGCTGGATGGACGCCAACCCAGCCTTACGGGTGGGCGTGCTCACCGGCAGCGGGAAGGCGTTTTGCGCTGGCGCCGACTTGAAAGGTGAGTTTGCCTATCCCCTTCCCCCGAATCCCCTCAATCCTCTCAAGCCCCTCAATCCCCTCCAATCCCAATCCCCCCAAAATCCAACATGAAACCAAACTAACCTCAAGAAGAATGGCTCTCAACCACCACCCAAACCCCATCCCAAACCACACCCACCCAAAAGTCCAACCCCATAGCCCCCGCCACCGGCTTCGGGGGCCTCTCGCGGCGCGCGGGCAAGAAGCCCATCATCCTGGCGGTGAACGGGCTCTGCCTCGGGGGCGGGTGCGAGATGGCCGTGAACGCGGACCTGGTGATCGCGTCGGAGCGGGCCTACTTTGGGTTTCCGGAGGTGGCGCGCGGGGTGGTGGCATGGGCGGGGGCGCTGCCGCGGCTGGTGCGGACGGTGGGCCGCCAGCGCGCGATGGAGATGGTGCTCACGGGCCGGAAGGTGAGCGCCGCCGAGGCGCTGCGGTGGGGGTTCGTGAACGAGGTCGTGCCGATCGATGCCGAGGGGGAGCCCGAGCGGGATGTCGTCCATCGGGCCCTGGAGGTCGCGGGGCGCATTGCCGCCAATAGTCCCGATGCCGTGGTGGTGAGTCGCGCGGGTGTGAATCGGGGGTGGGAGCGGGAGGGCGCAGATGAGGCGACGGTCAAGTTGATGGAGGAGTGGATGGAGAAACTCAACGCCGGGGAGAATATCAAAGAGGGGCTGAGGGCCTTTGTGGAGAAGAGGCATCCCAAGTGGGTGGATAGTAAGTTGTAGTTGTATCGATTACTAGATTTACAGATTACGAAAGGCAAGAGAGAATCCATAGCTTATTCATGCATTTGGTATATGAAATGCTGATTGCTCGGTAAGTACATGAAGCATCACAAGTAAAAAAGAAAAACGCAAAACCTATGCTGGTATCCCATGCTCCGTTCGCGCCGACCATTTGTTCGCCATATCCCGTACGATTCTTCGCCGTCCCGCGGCTGAACCGGTTGTACATGCTTCCGGATGCCAGATCCGTGATCAACTCGGAATTGCTGAACTCGCAATGATCTTCGTGAACATCGTAAAACATAACAAAGTACCTCATTTACGGCGAGATAACCGTCGGCGACTGAGTCCGCTTACACCTTGACTCCCTGCACCTTGCGCACCCGCTCGAGGACCGCAGGGTACAGAGGGTGCTTCTCCTCCAGGCCGGTCAGCTGGCTGGTGGCCGACTCAGGGGACTGTTCCTTGAGGATGTCGGCGAGCTCGGCACTCTCTTGGTCACCAGGCACGTTCTGGAAGCGTAGAGCCATCTCAACCGCGTCCATCAAGGCATCGTATTTCTGACCGCGCTCGGCGAGCTGGGCAGCAGGTCCGATGAACCGCTCCTTGCGGGAAAGCTTGCGCAGTGGAGCGCGTCCCACACGATCAACGTTATCCTCCAAGTACGGGTTGGAAATACGCTGAATGATCTTGTCAACGTACTCCTTCTGCTCCTCATCTGAGATCTCGTGCTTGTCGGTAATAAGGGAGGCAGTTTCGCCAAGGACCTTGTGCACCATCTCCTTGATCTCAGGATCGGCCAGTGCCTCGGCGATCATGCGCTTGCCGCGGATGTGACCAAAGTAGGCTGTGGTAGCATGGCCAGTGTTGACGGTGAAGAGCTTGCGTTCGATGTAAGGCTCGAGGTGGTCAACCCAATGAATGGCAGGAATGTCTGGGTGGCCGACATCGCCAAAGGGAGTCTTCTCGACAACCCATTCGTAGAACTTCTCGATGCGGACGTCGAGACCGGCGTTGGGAGGCTGGTTGGGGACAATACGATCGATGGCCGAGTTGGCGAACTGGGCACGGTTGTACAGCGTCTCGACGCGATCTTCGGCGGTATGTTGCTTGATGAAACCATGGAGTGTATCAGTAGCACCAATGGCGTTCTCGCACGCGATGACAGCCACGGGCTTCTCCATTGTGCGCGCATCGATACCCTTGGCAATGACGGGGGCAATGAATTTGAGAATGTTGGGACCGACGGCACAAGTGACCACATCGGCAGTGGCGATCTCTTGGATGACATCGCTCTCGTGGGTCTTGGAGTTGATGGCGCGGAAGTTGGTGATGGTCTTGGTCTTCTCACCTTCATCGCTAACCTCGGTGACTTCGTACGAGTCTGCGTTCTGAAGGGCGTTGACGGTTTGGTCCATCACATCGACGAAGACGACCTCGTAGCCAGCCTCATGGAGAAACTCGGCAACGAAGCCACGACCGATGTTACCACCGCCGAACTGGATAGCCTTCTTAGCCATGATGAAGTGTGTTGTGATGAGGTATAAAGGGTGGAGGATGATTGGTAGTAGTCAAGAGAGGTAGAGTGGGGAAGTAGTAGTCTTGGTGAGATGATCTCTTGATAGGAAGAGGGGAAGTGGAGGTAGAGGAGAAAGGAGGAGAGAGATGATTGATGTGAGATTGGTTGTTGTTGATGATGAATGAAAAAGGAATAGAACAAAAGGATTGAGGAGGGGGATTTGAGGGGTATTATATGAAGCCGCGAAGGAAGGAAGAGCAAACCGAAGAGGGGAAGGAGGGAGGGGAAAGAGAGGGGCGCAGCATCACATACTGTGTGAAGCAGGCAAGTAGGCAAGTAGAAAAGTAGGCAGGCACACTGCAATAGAACCATAGAGAAGGCTCAGTCGCGGTACGTGCGGGACATGGGAATGGCAGCCGGATTGCATAGATCATTGGTTGGTGGAGCAGGACAATGACCTCAACTCTCTCAAACAAGACTCACCAATCCGAGGATGACGTGAGGGACCCCTACCTCAAACGAACAACCATACCGTCAACCGTGCGGTGATCCTAAACAGGATATTCTAACTTACTACACATGTATGATGATCATGGAAACAAAATGCACTTGCATGATTGCAGCTAGCAGGGTGGATGTACCTATCCTTCTGACTGTGTCTGGTGGTATGCTTCCATAATCATACTCAAGGAGTACCTACCTACTTACTCAGGTATTCAACCCCAATCAGCCACGGCCGGTCTCCCGATCCCTCCCGATCAGTCAGGTTGATAGTGATCTTGAAACCACTCTGTCTTCTTCGACTGGTCTATATTAGACTCCTAGTAGGCTAGTACTACACTACCACTACTACCCTACCCTGGTCATTCTACATTTCCCCGGGTTTGCGGAGTACATCGGCCCGGATAGGAATGTCTTCCCTTGGCACAACTCGGCTTGAGGATTCAAAGGACACGAGGGGTACGAAGACTTCTTCCCGAGTACGGCCTACTCGTATGTTCTTGGAATGATGAGGATGATTCTGACCAGTGGTAAGAGGGAGGAGTGGAATGTCATCATCATCAGACAGTTGGGCGGGAGTCGTTCGATCAAACATCACATCGTCATGCCGCTGGGGAAAACGAGGAGGGAAGACCCACCGCTGCCGGTGTCAGTCTGGCTGAGGACTACACAGTACATACACAACTTCCTTACACTTACGTCGTAGTCTGTCTCGGTCTTCTCGGTCTCCCCCACCCAGTGACGTTATTCTCTCCTCCACCTCGTCTTTCCAATTGCTGGCTCCATGTTGAATTCGGCCCTCATCGACTCGGTCCAATTCCATCTTCCAAAATTTTAAGACAATTCATGTGGGTCTTTACACCCTTATTGTCTCCCCCAGCTTTCTCGATCTTTCTCGATTCCTCGCTTCATACATGAGAATAGAAAGGAAAAGGCACAGCAAATGCAAGTTCAATGTTCAGTACAGTACAGTAAGTAGTAAGTAGTAATAATACAATGGGACTAATTACTAGGGAGTTATTTGCAAGTTACACACCAATGGCTTCATCCCCGTTTCCCGCCCGGCCCAATCGATTTTTTCCCTCACTTTCCACCCATTTCCATCCGTCCGATCGGCCCCCTTGTCGCCTTCTTCTCTTCTCTCTTCCGATTCGTTTTACAGTCCCGTTGGATATTCCCGCGTTGTTCCTTACGCCGTACCTGGTAGCCCGTGCTATTCGTGTGAACGCAATGTTACCGAATCGTCACTGTGGTGACTGTGGACTTCCGATTTGGCATGGTCTTCCAGCAGATCGTCAGGGCCTTCGTCAAATCCATCCTCGTCATCAGGAACATAGTCCACAGGAGGTCGACTGCGGTCGATCAACACCATCACTAACCCTGTCGTGCCCCCAATCAGATACAGCCCTGTTGCTGCCCAAGTGAGACTCAGGAACTGCGGCCCGTACTCCGCTGTTACTCCAGCGTCCTGCCCATGGTAGCTGACCAGGTTGACAAACTGAAATGCGATTACGGTCGCAATGATGGACGAGATCCCAAGCATCACGAAACTCAACTGCGCACGGGTCAGTATCATCCGTTGAGAGCCCACATATCGCAAGACGGGCGGGATCATACCATCATGGACGACACTTCCGTTACCGTCTGTCGCGGACCGCGTCTGATCGCCCACCATGCCCTCTCAAACAGCGCCAGGGCGGCCACTCCGGCTCCCAAACAATAAAATATTCCCATACTGCGCGATGTCATCTGGAAGGCGTAAAAGTCGTCGGTGATCGCGCTGGGCCACCCCAAGTCCGCCGGGGAGGTAGTATTCCCGGTGTCGGCCCGGATCGCAGCATCAGGGTCAAACGAAAAGAACAACGTTCGATCGGAGCAGTTGTTAAAGTCCTTGTGATTCACCCGCAGTTCTCCCTCGCAGTATGACATGACATGGATGGAGTAGAAACCAGCGATCTCCGTGCTTTGGCTGATGTTTGAGGTATAGATCTGTCGTAAATGTCAGAGGCTTATCTCATCTTTGAGCTCATCTGGTGTCACTCTGGCGATGAGGGCAGGTTAACTCACTGTTAGGATTGAGGTGTCGGGCAGTACACTCGTTTGTGACCCCGCGAAGAGGCATATTAGTGTCAGTATGAAGGCGATAAATGCTGCCACTGTCGGCAACCAATTCACTAGACGACTCATGGTGCAGCGATGCCGCTCAACTTCTCTTGTCAACAAACAGGTTGTGGAGAATCAACTTGCATTACAGCTGTTCCAGACTGGCAATGAGTTCTCATGTATACTCTTCGCTATCGGGCCGATGAGATCGTCGAGCATTCCCTGAGATGGCCAGTCGCCAGCAAGATTTAGATAAGAAACATCGTGGACTCCAACCTCACTTCTTCCGGTACATCTCGCTACTTATCGAATAGCACAATGTTACCGCGTTGGCTCGCAGATGATTCCAATTGGACGCGAGATACCATTGGAATGTCTTGGCCTGGGAAATCAGGCAGCGAATACCGCAGCGTGGAAAGACTCATCAACCGCCAGCGTGAAGAATGTGCGCGCCCACCGATGGTATTCCTGGCCCACTTGAATCGTGATTCAACCCTATATCTTATGAACAAATTCGATTTCCGCGGTCAGACTACGAGGGAATGGTGACATCCTTGGCATTCTAACCCTCGAATCCATGAGCGCACTGGTTCATGAGCTATCATCATCCATTATGCTTGCAGAGTCCTCAGCTCACTGTGGACGTCACACTTGTGACCGGGACATGCATAATGTCCCATGGTTTGGTCCGAAGTGTAGCAATGCTTGTCTACAGTGGAGCACCATCGTGTAAAGTCGTATCTCTGCTTGCTGTCAGCCAGTCTCTTGTGTTCTAACGCTAAAGCCCCCCGCACGCCCCACTAATGGCTGCTACCCCGGATTTGGCACGTGGCGCGAGCTGCTGACGAGGAAGGTCTGAGCTGGTACCTTATTACCCCGCGCTTCACTCTCAGTGTAGCCCATAGCCAGAAGCTCAGGCTGGTCATTACTTTCGGATGCAGAGCGATCCTCCTTTCATTGAGACAGTACCCTAACACAGTCGACTGCAAGAGACTTAATCGTATACTACCTGCGTTTGAAACCGGCCCAACGAGAGAATCTCTTTCAACTCAGCCTTCACCCAATTTTTCCTGACTCTTGCCCTTACCCATTCGGTGGCAGGGATAGCTACCTCCTTCTCATCCTGCCTTCGGTGCGAGTAATACCCCAATCGCCTGAGCAGCGGACTATCGATGGCCCCAAGATTCATCTCATCTGACGGTCTTACAAAATAGAGCAGTCCTAACCGATCCAGCCCGACTTGATCCTCTGGCGGAGACACGACACGATGGACCCCACTCTTCAAGTACCCATTTGATAGGAACTCTACAATGTCGGCAATGTTGACCGCCGCATGACCTTCGGGGATCCTCAGCCACTGCCACTCTGCCTCCGCCGACCATTTGACTTGCAACGCTGCCACTGGCTGCTGAAAGACAAACGTCAGAGTTCCGAAATCTGTATGGCCCCGTGTGTAGATATGATTGCACCGCTCATTCTCCTCCGCCGACCTGGCCCTCGACATCATATACCGGAGTGCGCTGTCGCAATTCGCCTCATAGCGATGGCCTCTGACCAAAGCCTCTTCGTCTGGAAGTTCCAGCACAATTGCGAGGAGCCGGAGGATCTTGTGCGCTACTTTCTCATGGATATGGCGATGAACCTGCTCGATCTCCTTCCAGTGCCGTCGAATCACGTCCGGCTGGGTGCGCTGCGTCTGTGGGATGAACTTGAACAGGTTGTACATCTCCACCTTGTCTGGCAGGCCCGGGGCGAGCTCGACGCTCCCGAGCGGGCGGTAACCATTGTAGTTCCCTTCTTCAAGCGGAGCGCGATACTTCAATCGTTCTTCGAAGGGCAACGCGTAGAACTCTTGCCCGATGGCATACTGTCGGTCAATCTGGTCTTGGGTGAGACCGAAGTTGGTGATGTAGAAGAACCCTATCCTTTTTCTTAGCTTGGTCTCTTTCCTGGGCTGGAGCCAGCTTATGCATTTTGGAAGAAGAGAGACCAACCAACCTCATGTGCGGCTTGCTTCAATTGTTCCGCTAGTCTGGCTCTGCCTTCTGGGGTTTCGAAGAGAGAGAGATCAAGTGTGACGAGGTCTGCATAGTCGACTGGCTCGCTTGTCAGTGTGCTCTGCCGCCGTTTGGTCAGTCGGAAGAGTACTTACGCGGTTGCGTTGTCTCCGGTGGATGGACGTATGCCTCTAGCGGCTCGGTCGTAACATCGCCGTAAGCTGTCTGGTTTGCGATAGGTGCTGGGATCGCCATGTCGTGTTTGTGCTCAATAAAAGTATACAAGATTATGATCCGGTCAGCTGGCACAGTATGTCGCAAGGCTTAAAATCCAAGACGCTGGTGGTTCTGGCAGGGAGTGTTGTCTGAAGGCTGTCTTACCCCGCTTGATATCGACTGACGTGATAGTAGCACCGATTGACGATATTGTCCAGGTTGAGAGCGAATCATTGAGTGGCATGCTGTGTCACTACCAATATTGGAGGATTTCAAGTGCTAATAGAGCAAAAGAGCCTGAGTTGGTACTCATGGTCAGTCGCTATTCTTTAACATGTAGTGTTGTTGTGATCAGGCGGCCAACCGGGGGGGAGGTGGAGATGTATAGTATTTCCTAAATCGGGTTGCTCCCTTCTATGACGGACGGAGTCCTGCAGAACAAACATCACCAAAAAAGATAGCCAGATTACTGCACATCATGCTCATGGGGAAACTGTGCGATGCTTTCCATGGCCTACCTTAATCGAGATCGAGCAGATAAGACGGACATCATAGATAGAAGCATATCAGTGGGATCTCACTGTGTATATTTACAAGAAAGCTACCTGACGGCCAGCTACCAATCAATCCTTGACCGGATGAGATGAAGTCAAGGTGCTCACCTAGGCCTAAGGCGCTTAATAGGAGGTGAGTATTGGCTATGACAAAGTTTCGCGGCCAATTGGGCTCGGACGAATTGCGGTGAGCGCGTAAGATGTTTTTTGTGCTATGCCTGTGCTGACTCCTTCCCCAGATTCACCCTTATATCGCATGCAACATGAACTTCGACCACCTCGCAGAAGAGAGACCGAATCTGATCTTTCAAGTGTGGCTTCAGAATCTACTGAGAAATTCACCCGAGGAGCTGGCGGGGAGGGTTGCTTCACGCCTGTCAAAGCCGTGCCGCTTGCAAGTGGCGCTTTCAATGTTTGTTACCGCGTGACCTACGGTGACGGTCATGATGTCGTGGTTCGATTCATTGGTCTTGGTCGGATCGTCGCTCGTAGTGAGAAGGTCGAAGACGAGGTCACTATCATGCAATATGTTGCTCAGCATACAAGAGTCCTGTTTCAAAGGTTCTGGGATCTGGGAGGTGTGTGGTTGACCCATACATCGTGATGGACTACATTGAGGGCAAGCCGTTGAGTAGGTATATTGGGGAACCGACTCGGGAGATAGTCACACTGCGCTCGAATCTCAACATGTCTGTCTTGAGAACAGCATATATGGCTATGGCTGAAATCTTGCTGGAGCTGTTCGATTGGACGAGTCCGGCGAGTGGACGGTGCAGAAACGACCATTCACTTTTAATGTGATGACCTCCGTCCTGACAAGGTTCTTGTCGATGCAACAAGACTGGCTGTTACTGGGGTCGTCGATTGGGAGTTCACATATTCTGCTCCCGTCGAATACACATATGCGGCGCCTTAGTGGCTCTTTTTGGAGGAGCCAGAAGACTGGGATACTGATTTTGATCAGTTCTTGGTGCGCTTCATGCCGAGATTCCACACATTCCTTGGGGTCCTCAAAGAGTGTGAGGCCAAGATCCAGGACGGCTCATTACCTCCATCTCAACGGCTATCAGTCGCTATGGAGAAATCTCTGGAGACGGCATTGTTTTGGATGTGCCTCGCTTCACGCCACAGTTCCATGTTCGACGAAATATACTGGAAATTTATCGATCCGAGGTTCCATGGCCCATTCAGAACTATCGAGGATCGGTCGAGTCTGCTTAGTGCGGAAGAGCGGGCGAACATTGACACTGTCGTGCAGAATAAGATGCGGCAGACGGATGAGGGCACTTTGGATTCTCATTACAGCATTCATGAGCTGGTTGAGCTATAGCTCTTGCCCTCTTGTTCGTGAGTCTGGATCAGATGGAAGCTCGCGTAGAGCTGGGGCTATCGAAACTTGCAGAGTACGACAACAAAGCATAGAACTCGACATTTACCCCGCTTGCTGGCGGTACATGATAGTTCTTGCGGATATATGAGCACTAAATAGATGAGGTAGACACAACACACTGCTAGGTGTCGAACGAGCGGATCGCTTTGTTCCTTGTGTGGGCAGCTTCAGGTGTCCGGAGAAGCCGTATCCGATTCATCGGTTGAGGCGAATGTCCGCCAAAGATGACCAATAACTCAGCTTGTTCTTGATATTGCCAAGAGATTCTCTATGAAGAAACACCCCTTGCCTTGCCACAGTGCGTGACACTCCGAACCAGCATTTGGTCTCAACCCCCCCCCTCCCCCAACTCCTCCCCGATATATGGAATCTGCGTACAAAAGCCCGCCCCCCCTCTATAACCAACCTACAGCGGCAAACAAAGACACTAAGCGAGGTTAGATCAGAGAATCGGCGAGTAATATAGTGACCCTCCATTGCATTTATCAATTATCCAGCCGAATTATTTGACGACATGCTTGATTTCACTTTATGGTTTGGTTCAAATGATGTATAGAGCTAGTCATCCATTCCCTGGTCCTCGCTTATCCTGTATACTAGCATAGACCTTACTGATGACATGTGAGGATGCTACACTGGTGAGACCACGTTGGGTGGGCGACAAAACGTTCTCTCTGCTTGTTATCTGTCATAGCAGTAGCAACATCACCTACGTGTCCGCGAAGTATACCCTGAATCCACAAACAAGTCACCCCTAAACCTTCTCTCAATAGCCCAAAGGGAGAACAGCATCGCATGATCGATCCTCTTGTTGTCAGTGTACCAGATCTTTAAAAGCTAGCGAGCGTTTCAGAATAGGGGATTCTCGATGAAGCAGTTCTGATAGATTATCTAAAAGAACAGTGTCCGGTGACTTATTTGAGGAAAATTAGGAACGAGGGGACTTGGTTTTGGCTACAAATCCTCTGGAAAGTAGTGGGTTGTAAAAAAAAAGCCCAGAGGGATCCGTTCATTGCCAGGGAGGGGGGGTAATCATTTCGGAAGGTCCGCAACCGATCCGCTGGCCTGGTTAATTGTACAGTACCCCAGTTGACTGAGGTATGAAGCTTGGTCGCAATGATGCATACTTCATTTGATCCAGTACTGGGCCCCGAGTACTAATGCCATGCAGTGGGTTGAGGGGAAAATTGGATGAGATGTGTTATTTGGATAAGTGCTTAGTGATAGTTTTTTTATGGTATACTCTGGCTGATGTAGGGGGGTTTTCTTCATCTAGAGAACAAGATATAGATGGTCAACTTCGGATTTCCGCCGTGGCTTTAGTCATATAATGCAGTTGGATTGCATGTTTTGTACTATCGCCTACTCCGCTAGCAGGGCTACACAAAGAGTTCATGTAATAGGAACGTGGCGGACTTTGGAATCTACGAATCGCTTACCGTGAGGTATTGGACGATTTCTCAGGTCGGTACTGAAAGCGCCGGGCCAGGAAGACCAGAGAGCAGGCATGACCTCACCACCGCCACTGAAGTTATGGTCTGTCGAATTAGAGTGTTCGTGTAAGCCTTGTGTCCATGCAAGGGCTTGGGACTGTACCACCGTCGACGATTACACAAGGCAACCGACCTGATGACCGGTGGCGCGGGCCGGGCTACACCCGAGTAACGACAGAGCGAGAGCCAGTTCACTCGGTGACAATGCATCGTACATGACTAAGTAAGGGGGAGAGAACCCACTTGAGACATCTGCACGAACTAGCAAAGAGCGGGTATATCGGCTGCCGCGTTGGCATTCCTTCGACGCATAGCCTAGTAGCCTTCTAGGCATGCAGGGTCGAGGGTGTGGCAATGCATAAGCAGCGCCAGGATGATTCTAGGCAAAGAACTCCAAGAAAAAAGGCTGCATCCAGTGGCGGAAACCAAGCCATGTGTTCCCTGGGCGAGATATATGAGGCCAAGAAGGCTTGTGATACACGCCTTCAGTCAAGCTTTGCTTGGATGACGGAAACAGATATCAACCTGCGCACAGCGTGCTTCATCATGAATCGATGTGTGCAAAGCAGAGCTTCGTGCCACTGTAGCGGCCATACTTCACCGAACCACTCATTGAAGGTATATCTTCACGAGGAGACCACGTCTGACCACCATCGGCTCTGCTGGATCTCGCCTGGCTGTAATGTCAGGAGATGAGCGGCCGATCTCGCTGAACACCGCGCACTACCGGGCCATGAGTTGCACCCAGATTCTTTCATTTGATAAAGGGGGAATCAGGGTCCAGCGCTCTCATGTTACCTGCCTGCAGCTATTACCCAACTATGGGAGTGCGTGGCCAATTTGCTGCACTAGGGCCGGCCGGGTAGCTGTTTCTAGATGCATACGCAGCATGGCGGCTGACCATGACCCATGAAGCTCGGGATGGAGCTGGAAGGAGCAGTGGGATAGACGATCCCTATTCTCAGCAGCTCCTTTGATATGGGAGACCCTGTCAGCAATGCTGATGGTCAGCCCGTGGGAGTGGAAAGGTAGGCCCGGGTCAAAGAGATATGAGCCACGAGGCGGAACCCGCGGCTCTCATTGGACCAAACCCAAGCCGGCTTCATACTGCCAGAAGAAGGTGCCTGTAGTATGATGAGACCCCTATCTTGGAGGTTTCAAGGTTGAAATCGGTCAAGTCCGCCCAGAGCATCTCCGAGACGAGACGTGCGCCGTCATCATCCAACACACATTAAATTTGATGACCATGATCGGGCAGAGACGGAGGGTCCCAAGCTGCACTGTGACTGTGGCACCTCGTTCCGGTGTCCTGTACGAGAATGATGTATAAGCTGACTGAGATGCACCGTGGAGCGATGCAGGCAAGGGATAGGTCCAGAGAGGGCGGACGTAGTGCCATGTGGTCGGTCGACGTCTCCATCCGTGGAAACGAGCAGGAGCCATGAAACCGGATGGATCTCTTGATCAGACGATAACGAAAGAGGAGGGGCACCTCCCAGAAAGGCACAAGAGCACGAGGGCCCGGGGCAACAAAAGATGGGGAAAGGAAAGGAAAGAGGGGGGAAGTGCCAGTTGTTGATGGACGACTGGGGAAGGGTTGGCGGGAACGTGCTGGCAGGACGCGATGCGACTGGCTGGCGGACACACAACTGAAGGTGCAGTGCCAAGAGATGCCAAACACAATGTTCACTTGTTTACTTGTTCAATTGTATATGCAACTACGTACGCATCGGCACAGGTTTAGACTTCGACCACGAGTACCAGGCCCGGGTCAAACTATGTGCGCGTGTTTCAATGAGCCATGTCTTATTCCAAGAAAGTCCATGGCTGTCGTGGCCCGGCTGTCAGTGTCAGGTGGACGAGGACCAAAAGGAACGTCAGGACGAAGAAGGACAACGCAGGAAAACATATTATCTGGATATGCATCATTCAGCTGTAAGATCTAATGGAATCGAGATAAATCAACATCATGATGAACAGCACTGTGTAACACACTGAAGATCTGAGCGGAGCCCTCTTGCCGCTCAATTCCAACTTTCTCATACACTTGAAGATCTCACTTGACAGCGCACCGCTCTCTCTTTCCCATCCGGGACTCGGGAACAACTAAGGAACCACCAACTTGGAAGTGAACCAGCCAGATTGGTCCAGTTGATGCAGGTCGGTCTTTTTTTGCAGCGTCGTGATTAGGTATTCTTAGTTCCAGATCCAATAGATCCCCCGTCTTTTTGTTATCTCCCCCGGGAAATTCTAACAGTTAAAAAATGGAGGATGATGCCACCACCACCACCTGCCAGCAATTCATGGTGACTTTGGGGCCGGCCAGGCGTGCAGCTTTCGTAGTGGGGTTGCGGTTGCCAGCATTTTATTGGACCGAGCTAAGTCCGGGCGGGTGATTCTAGAAGGCGGTCAGTGTCAATCGAAGGCGATTCTGCCCCCACGTGCGCTCTCGATTGGCCGGCGGCGGAAGTTCTGCAGTGGGAAACGCCCCTCACGCCCGCCTTTCCGCACCAAGGTTGGTCCTTCGTCTTCCTCGGCGGGCTCAACCTCAACTGACTTCCGCCACAATCACCGTCCGCCACCAGACATTATTCCTGAGAATTATTCATAATCCATAATCCTAGTTTGATTGAATCCTTTCAAGTTCATTCTTTGGAGGGATAGAAGATTTTAATTTTTACTTTTGATCGATCCCTATGCCGCCCGACGAGATCATAATAATAATCAGCCTGATAGATGGGGTTTCCCAATTCATCCGGGTGGGTGCGGGTGTGGGTGCAATTGATTCTCGGAGGAAGGAACTCTGCCCGGGAACGGCAAGCTGGATTGGAAACTACTCTCCTACCTACCACTACTGCAGTGCTTACTAGATACCGATGACCGATGACCGCCCCGTCCTGAACCTCTTCCTCTCTCATGGGAACTTTCACCCGCTCCGGTCTCTCCGGTCGAAAAGCCGCGACGAAAGGCCGATAGCAAAGAGAGAAAGTGGCTCCAGTATTACCTATTCAATATCCTTAACTGGGTCTAGGGCCTAGGCACTGGGGCTGGCGAGAATCCGCCTTCCTGCATCCTAGTCAAGTCGACTAACGACTTGCAGCGCAGTGGAACCCTTCTTTTTTCCTTGAGATCCACTCCGCTAAAACTAATTCTTACTTCCCCACCCGCCGCCACTACGTACAGTTAGATCTCGCACTACCTACCAGACAACGGGCTACCCAGAATTTCCCCCGTCGACCCATGAACCACACACACACCCCTCCCTCCCCCCAAGACCGGCGTCTGGCTTATCACGTCCCACCATTTGCACATGTGCCTGGGGCGTGACGGTGGGCTGTTGCCGGTCCGCCCAGCCCAGAGATTTTCGGAATATAAGATTGATGGCCGGCCGCTGTCCAACAACTTGGCCTGCATCGTGTGTGACGCCTCAATCACGGTCAACGCGCCCGTTTCCCCCTTCTCTCCTCCTTAGGAGATCTTTCTAAGAGCGCCTCTTCTTCTTGTCCGAGTCTTGTTGCGACAGCCAAGTCGATTATCATTCCACATCGTCCGACAAGATGGCAACTCTCGGTGCTCAGGCCCCCCATGGCCCCGACATGACTGGCACTCATAATCCCCTCGAGGACATGGATCTCCACGAAAAGGGTGCCTTCGATCAGCTCATTCGTCCCGATGACAGTTATACCCCCGATGGTACCTACTGGGCCGATCTGCCCCTAGTCAAGAGAGTCAAGTTCGTTGGCTCCTACGACGCCCAGGAATCCAAGCGTGAGCTTCGTGGAATCTGGGCCATGATCAAGGAGGATCCTCTTTCTCCTGTCTCGTATTATTTCCGGAATATGGTCCTGCCTGGTGCTGGTCTTGGTCTCGAAGGGTAGGTCCCTCCCTCCAACGACTCTTCCCGAAGGTGCCACCAGTTTTGCTCACATTGGCTTTTGCGCCTATTTAGTTACGTGCTCTTCTCTATCGGAAACATCAAGCCTCTCTTCCAAAATTCCTTCAAGTCCTGCTGGAAAGAATACGAGACGTGCGACAAGCAATGGATTTACGCCATCGACTACCTCGAGATTCTCGGTATCATTGTCGGTCAGATTTTGGTCGGTATTCTAGGTGACTGGTATGGTCTTCGATTCGAATCCGTTCGGAAAGAGTATCGCTAACCACACAATTTAGGGTTGGTCGCCGCTGGGGTTTAATTCAGGATGCTACAATCATGCTTCTCGGTCTGATCATGCTTATCGCAGCTTGGGGTGTGAACGAGAATGGCTGGATCATCTGCTACGCCTGGTCTCTGTTCGTCTACGGTGTTGGTGTCGGTGGTGAATATCCCATGACTGCCACCAGCGGTATGGAGAATGCCGTCGGCTCCGGAAAGGTTTCGACCAAGGAGGATCGTCTCCACCGTGGTCGTAAGGTCACCAGCGCTTTCTTGATGCAAGGTTGGGGTCAGTTCTTCAACCAGGCTATCCTGATCATCTTGCTACTGATCTTCCACCATGGGAGCGGTAACCCTCCCTACTCCGCCGTTGCTGCTCAGTGGACCTACCGTATCTCCTTCGCCATTCCCGCCGTCGGAACCCTGTGGCTGGTCTACTACCGTGCCTACCACATGAAGTCTGCCAGTAAGCAGCTGGACGCCGCTAAGAAGAAGGCCTCTGTCACTGGTTATGATGTCAACTCTCTCAAGCTCACCCTCAAGTACTTCGGGCCTCGTCTTCTGGCCACCACCGGCGGTTGGTTCTGCAATGATGTCTTCTTCTACGGCAACAAGCTTTTCAGCTCCGAGTTCATCGAAGTTTTGAGCCCCGGTAACAAGTCCATTATGCCTACATGGTTGTGGAGCTTGTGCAATGTCGGTGTCTCGTTGGCTGGATACTACTGCGCCTCCTTCTTCGTGGACAACAAACTCTACGGTCGCAAGTGGATGCAAATGATCGGTTTCCTGATGTGCTTTGTTATGTTCGTCGTCCCCGCCTTCCACTACGATTACTACATCCAGCCGGAGAACATCCACGCTTTCCAAGCTATGTACTTCCTGAGCTCCTTCTTCAACCAATTCGGCCCCAATTCGATCACTTTCCTGGTTGCCGCCGAAGTGTTCCCCACTCCCATCCGCGCCTCGGCTCACGGTATCTCCGCCGCTTGCGGTAAACTCGGTGCCCTGTTGGCCTCGGTGCTATACAACTACATCGGCACCCGCACCAAGTTCTACTTTGTGCCCTGGTGGGGTCTGGCCGGCATGGTTCTCACCTGGCTCTTCCTTCCCGACACCACTGGTTTGGATCTGAAGGAGCAGGAACGTCGTTGGCAGTACATCCGTGAAGGGCGTGAGCAGGACTACCACGGTCCTGCTATCCACTCCAAGCACTTGTCTGTCTGGGAGCGTCTGCGCGGCGTTGGAAAGAACTACAACGCCGAGCTTGACTACAAGCAGAAGGTCGAGGAGTTCCGCGCTGAATGGGAGTCTGCCATGGCTCGCAAGATGGATGAGACTACCAAGGGTGAAGAGTACCTGCAGGACACCGACGAGTCTCTTCTGGAAGGCCACGTCCACTCCTACTTCCACCGCACCAGCCCTATGTTCCGCGGAATGGACAAGCCGGCCACGAGGACGGATAACTTCGCTCTCCCTCCGGCTGCGCAGGATGACTCGGGAGAGTCCTTCAATGAGAAGACCAACCATTAGGTTATGTTGAATGATTCCCTTTCTAGCACTTTGAAAAGACCATCGGCGTGATGCATTGCATGTGGCATACCCCAATCCGGGTTGATGATGCCATTCACTCTTCCTTTCTTGCTGTTTCACTATCCTTGTTTTTCGAGCGAGTGGTTTTGCTTGGTTCTTGTTGTGGCTGTACACCTCCTCCCAATACCCAGGTACATAAATACCTACTTTTAGTATATAGAAGCTGATTAATACTGCATCCTTCCCAAGGCTGGGAAATACATACTTTTCATCCTGACTTTCTTCTGCTTGGATTTAGCCTCGTAGTATCCTTCATCCCCGCATTGCTACCCCAGAGTTGACATTTTACAGTTTCATCGGAGGGCAAGTTACATCGTCCTCTGGCCCCACGGCGTTCTCGCACGTCGTCATTGCCGCCGGGCGGTCTTCCACTCCGCCGTTTTCGGCCGACTAGGATTCTGCCGGTTAATAGCCCCCACTAATTCGGAAGAGGTAAGCGATAACGAAAAGCGGTACCTTCACTACCTTGTTTATCGCATCGTTATCAATAATCTTCCTGCATCGAATTTGCTCTCCACCCCACTCGTTATCACCTGCAAGATTATCTGATCTTTGGTGCCTTGGTAGTCTAGCCACTGTCCTTTACCCTCGGGTATTTCTCTTGTCATATCGCGAAGGAGTGCTCTCTTGACCGCTAAAGAGAACAAACCAACCCTGTGTGGTCTGTCTATCCTCTCTGATTCCATTCCTCCATGATAGTTATTTCCTTGCTTGCTACTTCTCATACGTGACGCGGATTTATTTAATCTTTTCGTCAAGGGCAGCAGCTAGTAATTCGGAATTCCACCTGCTCTCGAAATAACGGCGGATAAGATCACATCACAATCCATCCACATTGCTGTATTCCGACTGGGTATTTCCCGGTGGGGTGGCAGTATACCGTCTAGATCTGTCAAGTCGCTGCATTACCTGGCTAGAGCATAGCAAGCCATCTCAAAGGCCGTCACGGAGCTGGAAAAAGTTATGCCCCTCTTCGCGTTTGGGTCGAATGGCTCCGGCCAATTGGCGTTGGGGCATGAGGAGGATGTCTCTGTGCCGACGAGATGTGTTTTCGAGTCTGCGGAGGATGCGGAGGATCACCACCACCAGGATCACCACCATGACCAGGACCGAAATGAAGGTGAATATGCAGGAAGTGGGCCGAAGGGAGCCGACGTGGTTCGTATCGTGGCCGGGGGGAATCATACTTTGGTGGCGGATCAGAGGGGCAGGGTCTTTGCGGCGGGGTGGAATGGGGATGGGCGGTGTGGGGTATCCCGGAAGAAGGAACATGGAGGCCAGGGGGAGGGGGAGATGGTGAAGCGGTTTAGGAGGGTGGTTGTTGTTGGTGGTGGTGAATTTGGAGGAGGTTCGGGTGATTTTGATGGTGCGGGTGGTGCAGGTGCAGGTGGTGATGGTGGTCAGGTCTATGATACGTTCACGGGGGTGGCTGCTACGTGGGAGGGGACGGTTTTGGTGGCTTCTGCTGTGGAGGAGATCAGGGATCGAGTGTTTGTGTTGGGGTCGGGATTGAAAGGGGAACTGGGATTAGGGAAGGGCTGTCACCGCGCGAGTGCGGGCGGCGTCGCGATTCCGGATTTCCCGCCTCCCGGGGTAAGGGTGCGCGCGGTTGCGAGTGGGATGGGCCACACGGTAGTGGTGCTTTCCGATGGGAGCGTGTGGGGTTGGGGCGCGGCGAGAAAGGGCCAGTTGGGGGAGGCGAATATCCCTGACAAGGTGGTCTGGAGTCCCCGGAGGATTGAGGGGTGGGAGGGGGTGGGGTTCCCGGCGACCGGGGCGGCGTGTGGGCGGGAGTTTACGGTGATCATGGGCGATCCTGCTAAGGGGGAGTTCGCCGTGCTGGGCGCGGTGGATGATAAGTGGGGGATTCGCTCGGGGGTGTCTGCGTCCCAGGTGAAGGAGAAGGCACTACGCGCGGGAGGCTATCGGGCCATCGAGGTCAGTTGGCATGGCGTCTATGTACATTTGAACAACGGGGAGGTGGTGGCCTGGGGCAGGAATGATCGCGGACAGATTCCATCATCGACCAGTACCGGGGACTTGGGGCACGGCCAGGTGGTGAGGGATCTAGCGGTGGGGAGCGAGCATCTTCTTGCTAGGTTGGATGAGCGCACGGTTGTGGCCTGTGGTTGGGGCGAGCATGGGAACTGTGGTCCCGATACCGATGCGCAGGGCAATGTCAAAGGGGGATGGAAACGGATTCCCCTGCCAGATGGCCAGTCCGATATTGTGGGCGTTGGCGCCGGTTGCGCGACAAGCTGGATCATCACTGCCTAATGTTGACTCCGACGCGGTTGTGGCAACCTTCGGGTGGCTAACATTTGGCGCGGCGATGCTTGATTGCTTAATCGAATAGACCAAGGCCATGGAGCTGACGGTGTTAGTTTCCTCGTCAATTTTTCAAGTGGACAGGGCTTTTAAAGTTACCTGTGATATGCGCTGGGTGGGCGGGATGCCCGTCTCCTCCTCTTGGCCTATTTCGGCAGCCTCCGACTCCTCGTTGGGCACGCGTGTCCTCAAGCTGGCGATGAAAGTGTCCTTTGTTATCAAGTCAGTAACCAGCTGCCAATGGAAGACGGTAATGCTGGGAGTCGTACTTTGTCACCCGTGGCATCCCAGCCAAGCTCGTCCTCGGCTGGAGCCTCCTCGTCATTCGACACGTCCCATTGTCGGTCATCATCCGCAGGTACGAAGAGACTATCGAATTCGACCGGCGGTTGAGGTCTCTGGGATTCTGCGGGGGTCTGTGAAGCTCGAGCGGACGTTCCGGTGAGAGGGCGGAGAGATCGACTCCGCGAGGACGGCGGCGGCATTCGACTTGCGTCGGTAGCAGTGGGCCTCTGCTGACTCACTTGCACAGGAGCTGGGGTCTGTCGAGCAGACAACTGTGGCGCGGCGGCTCGAGACGAGCTTGGCCCATCGTCTTCGACGGCTTCACCTCTCGTCATTAAGGTAAACTCGGATTTGATACCCTCGAGTTCGTATGCAAATTGCAGCGGGCGGCAGGGAGTGGTAAACCGGGCGGTGAGTCTGGCGTGGACAATATCAGCATGCGCAAGGACAGCCTTGAAGTCCTTCAGATTGATCGCAATGTGTCGATTGTCCTCGGCCAGGTAATACTCAAAGTCCCGTTTGTCGATGGCCACGGAGGTATGCACCGGTTGTCGCAGGATCTCTGCATAGAAGATATTCGTTAGCATAGATATGGGCGAGCAGACTTTTAGTTGGGAGATTCAAACCTTTTCCGTCAGCGATTTTGGTAGTGAAGCTGGTGAAAACGGTCTTGCCGTGCTCGGAGTAAATGTCCAGTTGCTCTGCCGACGGTCCGAAGTGGTCGGTGACTTCTTTCAGAAACTTGGGCTCGATGCTCCATTCATTCGTCGCTCTGGACCTGTCGAATGTTGCATGCTGAACATAGACAGGCTCGTACGTGAGCTTGTAGAGTTTGATGACGCCTGAGTCGTCAGCATCCTGGCGGAAGGAACAAGATATGCTTGCGATAGAGGGTAGGGTAAATCACCAAGTCCGCATATCAGTCTGATGACGAGGCGGCACTCCGTCTCATCGGGATTGTCTTGCAGCTCGAACTCGCATCGTTCGACCGAGGTGTCCTTGTTGCGGCCACTTGCTCTTCCTTTGAAGACGGACACGAGAGCCTATTCCAGTGTTAGCTGGAGAGACCCCCTTGGTGGTGGTTAACCCGATTCGAAGACCACCCACTTTGATCAACACCTGGCAACAGAACTTATGTGATTGAACGCCTGCAGACATGTTGCGTCTATCTACCCCGAATGAGTAGGATTCGAAGAACTTGTCTGCATCAAAGGCGAAGGCGGCGTAGGCTGTCTTGGTGGAGTTCAAGACGCTCAAACGAAGCTTGATTTCATCTGTGTGAGTCACTTCAGGACTTTCAAGCGACACAAATAGAGCATCACGTACCAGATCGAATTCGGCTTCGAATGATACATTGTCGCCAAATCTACCTAGGCACATCAATGCATCGTGAAGTTGATAGATCGCCTCCGGGGAGAGGGAGAACGATAGGGAGGCCATGTATGCTTCTTATCGAGAATGAGCGGGGAGGATACGGATCACGAGCAGTACTTTTTGTGTCCTTCTCTACACCCTCTGATTTCTTATCACGCAGTTCATCACAGATTGTCTTTGTTTGGTCCTGGATAAGTTCTCCATGGCTGATGCAAACCCGCCGCACGTCGACCGCAAACACGACACGAGATTACATAAGCGCGTATCTACTGTAAGGACCGGCGGTCCTACTGTATCTCTCCTTCACAAGACAACCTTCAAAGAACCCCCCGCGCGAGGACTCAAGGTCAAGCACCTCTGATCAAAACATCATACGCCTATTGAGCTATATTGGTTAGTTTAGTGGGAATCTCTAAAGGAATTGGGAGCTTTGCGCTGCGAAGATGGGCTTCGCCTTAGCCGATGACGTACTTTGTATGATCTTGGATATCTTAGGAGATGAGCGAGACCACAACAGCTTATTTCAATGCGCCATATCCTCGAAATACTTGACCGCCCACTCGCTAGCTGTGCTGTATAAGTATGTTTCCCGTCCTTTGCTTTTCCATTCTTCCTCCCCATGAGGTGCGTTTTTGCTGATACTCCCTGCAGGGTGTGCCATGCGTCACCCGTACGGGGTGGAGGGACGGAGGATGAACAATTTCTCAACCCGCGCAGACGCTTTACGTTTAATGCATCCTTGAGGCGCGAGGTCGACCCCACCGTACGGAAGTGGGCAACCTTATGGCGATCCATTGTTTTATCGGCTCTGGATCAGACCTACCTGCCTTACTACAGCTATCTTCGTTATCTAGATCTGGATGATCTGGGAGATCTGCTGAAAGATCCGAATTTCAGCGGGCAGATACGGGAGTAATACATGCTCCAATATCAGCTATAAGTGATCGAAATACTGACGGGCCGATTGTAGTGACTTTTTCACCCCGGAACTATTAGAGATTGTTTCTTCCGACTACCAGTCGAAAGGCAACAAACGGCTACGGTCGTCGTTCAAGGGCCCCAATCCCAGTGCCGACTCGGTCAAGCTTAAGATTGGTTCCGGTCTGTCTGTCTCTTCTTGACTCTATATGATGATAAGATATGAGATGAAGAGCTAACGCCAAACAGCGATTGTGAAGAGAACGACTTCTATACGAGGGATGTCGCTCAATGGTAAGCCCAACGTCTGAGCTTGGCCAGTGTATGTTATGGGTCTTGCTAATCACCTTTCTAGTCCCCCCTGAAACACTATCCGAATGGGTAGGGGGACTGCCCTTGCTGCAATCACTAACGGTATGGTCTGGTGAAGCTCTAAGCGAACATGCTGGTGCCCAGCTCCGTCATAACTGCCCAAACTTCAAGCAGCTCACCATATATTCTTGGTATAGACCCGAATATGCCACTGAAATTCGTTCTGGATACATTATTGACGAGCGCGCAGGAGAGACCGTCCGCCCGCAACCGCAGAAGCTGAATCCGAACAGTTTCTCGACCAATTGAGGCCAAACACATTGGAAACTTTTGAACTGATTAGCATGAGCCACCTTGGACCTCGCTCCATTGTGGGTCTGGGCTCACACCGGCAATCACTATCAGAATTGAAGTTGACGAGCCTCACAATCGATGGCATTGCACAACTGCCCTCTTTAGCAGCCCTTCCCTCGTTGAGGGTCTTAACTTTAACCGACTCGGTTCCATCCCCGCGGGATGAAAGATTCTATACGATTGTCTCGCAAGTTGCCGAGTGGATCGGCAGCTGCAAATCAGTGCGGCACCTGGAAGTGAGACGATTTGTCGATGACCCCTTCCTGTTATCACAGACATTGACCAGCGAAGGGTTCAACCTGACTAGTCTTTCGTTGTCTCGGTATAACATGTCAGGTGGCCAGGCCTTTCATGAAGCCCTTGCCTGCCAGCAGACTCTGCGAACTCTCTGCCTTAGCGGTGAAGCCTCCTTTTCCAATCATGACAACGAGGTCCTAGTACAGGCACTGAGCCAGCTGAGTGATTTACGTGAGCTGGACCTCAAAGACATTTCCGACGGCTTTTCGCAAGATCATGTCATGACCTTGACCGCATTGCTTCCCCGCCTGGAAAAGCTTTGGATCAGCGGCGACTTTTTCGACGATACCGTTTTTCAGGCATTCACACATCTCTCGAAGCTGGAGAGCCTTGTAATCCCCGCCTTCAGCAAGTTCACTGCTGATGGAATCCTTGACTTTATCTCGCAGCTAGGGCCCGGTAATAAAGGTTTCAACCTGTCGATTTTGAATGCAGTAGATAGCACTCTGACCGAGGAGGCGCAACTCCTGATCAGTGAAACTCTGAAGGCGAATCTGGACGGGTCCTTTGACTACGGGATTGTACCAGGTAAATATCAGGGCTCCATTTGTGTCGGATAACGCTAACAGATAGCAGTGGAAGATAGTGACATGAGTTCAGAGGATGGGCTATATGTATGACGTTGTCAATGCTAGTCCTGCAGCAAATCAATTGAATCCTTGACGGTGACAACAAAATTTTTTCATCAATTGTGTCAGTTCTTGATTTGAGCATCTGGAATAATGTAGATGCCTTTCCGTAGATACAGATGCGTTGGTGTTCACCTACTATAATAGGCAGTGTAAAACCACTTTAACGGGATTGGTGGGTTGCGCGTCGCAACCGCGTTTCCGACACGCGTTGAATCTGCCTCTCCCTCCGCCTCCGCGCGATTCCCGCATTTCCTGTCGGAGCAACAGCAGCTGGCAACTCTCAGCCCCCCCCTTCCTCAGAAACCCACTTTCTGACCCCATTGTTATTCTAAGGCTTGTTCAAAATCGACTTGACCAAGTGAACGGCTTTTCATGGACTCTAGCTCCTCATAAGAAGAACCAAGGACAGTCGGGTCGCCATGTCTGCCCGTGCCAAATTAGCAGAGCTGCGCGCTCTCCGCGCCGCGGGCAAGAAACGCCTTTCCACGTATGAGGTGGAGGAACAGGGCGATGTCTACGAAGAGGTCGATGACGAAGGGTATAAGAAAATCATCCGCAATCGGCTCGATCAGGACGACTTCGTGGTCGACGACAACGGCGAAGGATACGCGGACGACGGTCGCGAAGTGTGGAACGAGCGCGGCGCCGACTACGACAGTGAAAGCGAGGACGATGAACTGCCTGCCCGGAGCAAGGCTGCCAAGCGGAAACGTGAAGAAGAGAAGCAGAGGAAGGAAAAAATCAACAACGGGATCTCGAAATACTTCAACAGCGGGGCTGCGCCGTCCGCCCCGAAGCCCAAGGTGAGTTTTCTCCCTTTTTTTTGTCCCTCTGGTTGAGGTTACGTGGTAGCTTGGAAGTTGGAGGAGGAAGAGGGTCTAGAAACTGGGCTTTGTTCTAACTTGCCATTTTTTCCACTTTAGCCAGTGGCTACCGCAGAAGATGATGCCTTCATGGCTGACCTCCTTGGAGAGGTCGATACCAACGTCGTTCCGCAACGCCTACCAACCCGAAATATCGTCAAGTCCGAGACTCGACGCAAAGTCCGGATCCTGTCCCCGCCGCTCTCGGACAGAACGCGAAAGGATGCGCATATCAAGAAGGATGAGAATAGTGATCCGATTTCTCCGGTAAAGGATCAGTCGGATACTAACATGGACGACGACTATGATGATGGTCCGCTTCCCAACATGGATGATGAGGACTTTCCCATGAGTGACCCAATGCCTTCATCGCCTATCAGCAAGGCCATCGAAAGAAAGACAACGGCTGTGGCGGTCAAGGTAGAAGAATCGGACGAGGATGACACCGACCTGATGGAGGTCACGCAAGCTACTGGACAGAACGAAGCCAAGGCAGCAAGTATCAACATGGCTGGAAGCCGACCAGTGCCCAAGCTGAAGAAGGAGTCTTATCCTTCGATTGCCAGCTCTTCTCCTGCCAAGGCTCTACCAGACGTTGATGCATCTTGGAACGACGTCCGAAGCAAGCTGAACGTTCTCAGCAGCCCTGCCCACTCTGAGATGCGAACCTTCGGAAAACTACGTCCACAAGATGTTGTTGAGGAGGATGGGAGCTTACGTATGTTCTGGCTGGATTTCACTGAGGTCAACGGGAGTCTGTGCTTGTTCGGAAAAGTGAAGAATAAACAGACAGGCTCCTATGCCAGTGCCTTCGTCAAAGTCGACAATATCCTCCGAAAATTATACTTTCTTCCCCGCGAGAACCGTCACAAGCATGGGCGCGAGACCGATGAAGAGGTGGATATGGAAGATGTCTATCGCGAAGTAGACGATATGATGTCGAGGTTGCGAGTGGGAATGCACAAGATCAAGCCGTGCACGCGCAAGTATGCGTTTGAGGTGCCCGGCATTCCGAAAGAAACGGATTATCTGAAGCTTCTCTACCCTTATGATAAGCCTGCATTGCCCATGGACGTCAAGGGGGAGACATTCTCCCACGTCTTCGGTACTAACACGGCCTTGTTCGAACAATTTGTGCTCTGGAAAAACATTATGGGTCCATGTTGGCTCAAAATTGAAGAAGCAGACTTCTCGGCTGTCAACAATGCCTCCTGGTGTAAGTTTGAATGCCAGGTATCGAAGCCTGCGCTCATCTCTCCGGTGCCCGATTCCGAGAATCTGGACGCACCGCCTGTCACATTAATGAGTCTTTCGTTCCGCACGCAACTCAACGTCAAGGAGAACAAGCAAGAGATTCTGGTGGCCAGTGCCAGAGTCTACGAGAATGTCTCTCTCACGGACACTACTCCCCCGGAGAAGCTTCCTTGCAAGACCTTCACGGTTATGCGGCCGGTGGGCACCTCTTACCCCATGCACTTCGAAGCTGAAACCCGGAAGCAACGAGGTACATTCATGCTGGAAAGGAGCGAGCAATTTCTGCTCAGTAAATTCCTGGCACTGTTCGAGAAGATGGATCCTGATGTCCTCATGGGGCACCAGCTCCAGGAAGTCGACCTCAGCGTTCTTCTCAACCGACTCAAGGAAAAGAAGACGCCAGGATGGCATCGTCTCGGGCGACTGAAACGTGGAGACTGGCCTAAGAACTTCAACAGGGGTGGAGGTTTCTTCGCTGAAAGGCATCTGATCGCAGGACGATTGATGTGTGATGTGGCTAATGACATGGGCAAGGTAAGTTTCAGTGACAGCGGTCACAAAAGGATATGTGCTGACATTTGAAAGTCTCTGATGATGAAATGTCAATCTTGGAGCCTGACAGAAATGTGCGAACTCTACTTGGGACAGGGCAATACGAGACAAGAACTAGACACCGAAGCAGCCTTGAAATCTTGGGCTACCACGAAAGATGGTCTCATGAATTTTGTGAACCATTGTGATGCAGACACCTACTTCATCGCCGCTCTTGTCTTGAAGCTGCAGATGTTACCTCTAACCAAAGTGCTCACCAATATTGCTGGTAACTCCTGGGCAAGGACGCTCAGCGGTACGCGCGCCGAGCGGAACGAGTACATTCTCCTCCACGAATTCCACCGGAACAAATACATCTGTCCTGATAAATACTCTTCCAAGCTGTTGAAAGCGGAAGAGAAACTCCAGGAAGGTGACGAGGACGACTCGGCGGACAAGAAAAAGAAGGACAAATATAAGGGTGGTCTGGTTTTCGAACCCGAGAAGGGCCTTTACGACCGCTTTGTCCTAGTCATGGACTTTAACAGTCTGTACCCGAGTATCATTCAGGAGTATAATATCTGCTTCACAACCGTGGAACGGACGGCAACTGTGAGTTTATGAACTCGACCAACCGCTGAACTCCTGCTCACAACTCTATCTAGGCCGAGAATGACAAGGAGGAGAAAGTACCCGAGGTCCCGTCGTCAGAGCAAGAGCAGGGTATCCTTCCCCGCCTAATCGCAACTTTGGTCGGTCGTCGACGTGAGGTGAAGAAGTTGATGAAAGACAAACGCGCGACGCCTGAGCAGCTCGCTCTCTGGGACACTAAGCAATTAGCCTTCAAGCTGACGGCCAACTCTATGTACGGATGCTTGGGTTACACGCAGAGTCGCTTTTATGCTCGTCCCTTGGCCATGCTTACTACCTTCAAGGGGCGTGAGATTCTCAGAAGCACCAAGGAGCTGGCGGAGTCGAAACAACTCCGTGTCATCTATGGTGATACTGACTCCGTCATGATCAACACGAATATGGACACTATCAGCGATGCGATTAAGGTCGGTGAGGAATTCAAGAAGTCGGTGAATGAGCGATATCGACTATTGGAGATCGATATCGACAACATCTTCCGTCGTCTCCTCTTGCATGCCAAGAAGAAGTACGCTGCCGTCAACATCACAGAAGTAGACGGCAAGTACGTTGACAAGCTGGAAGTCAAGGGTCTCGACATGAAGAGACGTGAGTACTGCTCACTCTCGAAGGAGGTTTCTCAGAAACTGTTGAATGAGGTTCTCTCTGGCGAGGACCAAGAACTTGTTCTTAACCGGATCCACGACTACCTGCGCGATCTTGCAGGCAAGATGCGAGAGTTCACTGTCCCTGTGCAGAAATACGTGATTTATACGGTATGGATTGTCGGTTTGAGGACAGTAAAGACCAAAGAATGCTAACGTTTCTCCTAGAAACTCTCCAAGCGACCTGAGGAATACCCCAACAAGGAGACAATGCCTCCAGTACAGGTCGCCCTGCGCGAGCTCGCTCGAGGAAAGACGGTTCGTCCCAATGACGTTATCTCCTACATCGTGACCAGTGGGGATTCGGAAACTGCATCCCTCCCGCCGGCCAAACGTTCGTATACACTGCAGGACGTGATGAAGCCCGACTCGGAACTCAAGCCCGACATCGAGTTTTATTTGCTCAAGCAGATCTTCCCGCCTATTGAGCGTCTATGTGCTCCCATCCCCGGTACTGATGCTGTTCGGTTGGCGGAGTGTTTGGGCCTCGATGTCCGCAAGTATCAGATCAACACTTCTACTGGAAGCAACCAGCAGAACGCTGACATCTTCCCGCTGGAATCGCAAATTCCCGATTCGGTCCGTTTCGAAAGCGCAGCCCGACTCACCCTCACTTGTCGGTCCTGCAAGGAGAAATCGGTGTTTGAAGGTTTGCTCGGGTCCGTTCATATGTGCACAGCCAATGGCGTTATCTGCCCCAACCAAGCCTGTCAGAAACCTTTCTCGGTCTTGACCATCGTTGCGCAGCTGGAAACCCAGATCCGGGCCCAGACTTCCAAATACTATGAGGGCTGGCTTGTCTGCGACGATACGGCCTGCGGTAACCGGACGCGTCAGATCAGTGTATACGGGCACCGCTGCCTGGGTCCCAAAGGTCACGCTGAAGGTTGTCTTGGTCGCATGTCCTACGAGTACACGGAAAAACAGATGTACAACCAGCTGCTCTACTTTGCCGGACTTTGGGATGTCGACAAGGCTCGGACTGCGGCTGAGAAGGATGGGAATGCGGAGAAGAAGGACAGTGTGGCAGCGTTAGTTGAGTTCAACCGTACCCGGTTTGGAACTGTGAAAGGGGTCGTGGACGCATATCTAAAGAAGTGCGGACGACAATGGGTCGAGATGGATAGTCTGTTCCGCTTCATGTTGCCATGATTGGTGTCTAATAGATCTATTTACATTTGTACATATCAGCAACTTTTCTGTTTTAGTATGTGGATAGCGGGCATTACCAGATTTGGAACAACGGCATGATGAGGTGAATGGGCATGGATTCGATTTTGCATCTATGGAATTTCTATTCGTACGGTATCATGTACCAAGTAGTCAGTAAAAGCATAGTCGAGAGACCGGAGCTGTTGTCTTTTTTTATTTTTTTTATCTTATCAAAGGCCGGGCCCCGCACTCCTCTCCTCCGGTCCCCGATCAGTGACTCCCGCCATCCATTGCCGGGTTGACTCGCTCGGTGTGTAAACATCTGCAACCCCATCAATTTTTCTCAATCATTCAGGGCAACTCGATCCCAGTCTGGGCTACTCGACTGTTATCATGTCGGTTAAGAAAGTTCTGGTCATTGCGGGGTCGGACAGCTCGGGTGGCGCGTACGTCAAATTGTGCACGGTTCTCTCCAAAGGCCTGGTCAACTAATGCAATCAATTCCTTTGACATCAGGGGTCTAGAAGCGGACCAGAGAGTTCTGGCTGCTCACGGCGTCTATGCACTGACCGCAACCACCGGTCTCACAGCGCAAAACACTCTGGGAGTGCAAGATATCTTCATCATTCCGCCTGAATTTGTCAAGAAACAGATCAATGCTGGCCTTGAAGACGTCGGTGCGGATGTAGTCAAATTGGGTTCGTTGTTCCTCATCTCCTCGCCATTGGCTTTTCTGGCTTGAGCTCACTGAAAGCCTCGCTGGTGGTATCATGCGTGTGCGTGCGCTGACTGGCGAAAGGAATGCTCTCCTCCGCGGAGACGATCAATGTGATTGCCGAGGCTTTGGTCACGCATCAGATTCCTGCGGTGGTGCTGGATCCGGTAGCTATCTCCATTCCCCCAGTATGCAGTATATGTTTACCTGTCTGATACTGGGACTACAGGTCATGGTGTCAACAAGTGGATCGCAACTGCTCCCCGGGGCCGCTGTACAAGTCTTGCGGTCGAAATTGCTTCCCCTGACCACCATCCTCACCCCGAACATCCCAGAAGCTCTGCTACTTCTCAAGGACTCCGGAACTGATGTTTCCGAGCCTACTGACCTCCCTGGAATGGTACAGCTGGCCAAGCAGATCTGTTCCTTGGGCTCAAAGGGAGTCTTACTCAAGGGCGGTCATCTGCCCCTCACGAAAGATCATAAGACTGCGCAAAATCAGGAGGATGCGTGCTTAGTCATTGATGTACTGTATGACGGAGAGGAAGTCACCTTATTCGAGACGGACTTCCTCATCTCAAAGAACACGCATGGCACGGGCTGTTCGCTGGCATCGGCCATCGCGGCCAATCTCGCCCTCGGCAAGGGCATGAAGCGGGCCGTCCAGAGCGCTGTTCGGTTTGTTGAGGCTGGTATCAAGACCAGCTTTGATATGGGCAAGGGAAGTGGGCCGATCAACCACTTCCACTCGTTGTATAGCCTGCCGTTTGCACCGTGAGTCACTTGCCCTTTTCCACTTCTGAGGGATGGAGTGGAGCATGTGTTGCTGACGAGCTATCTAGTGGTCGATTTGTAGAGTATGCGCTGGATCGCCCTGACGTTCAGGAAGCTTGGAAGAAGTTTACAGAGCATGAGTTCGTCCGGCAGTTGGGCGATGGCACACTTCCTTTGGAGAGATTCAAGTCATATCTCGTCCAGGATTATCTATACTTGGTATGACATGTCGAGATTTTCTCGCTTGACGAGATCCAGTGCTGACGAACTGAATCAGATTCAATTCGCACGGAGCAATGCTTTGGCTGCATACAAGGCGGGGAGCATGGAATCGATCGCCGCGGTATGTTCCTAAACACAAGCGCGCTCCGATCCTACTCGGGTAAAGGGTGGAGGTGTCACCCGGTGGTCGACAAGCCAAGATACTGACCATTTCACGCGAACAGTCTGCGCAAATTGTCCTACATATTCAACGCGAGACAGCGTTACACCTAGATTATTGTGCCTCTTTCGGACTGACCAAAGAGGAAATGGAGAAGACTCCGGAAACCATTGGTGCGTGACCCATTCTCATTCCGTCGCCGACGACCATTATCATACGTGACTTGGCGCAGAAAAGCTGACAGGGACACTGTTGTTACGTACGAGCAGCGTGCACTGCGTATAGTCGGTATATTCTCGACGTTGGCCAGTCGGGAGATTGGCTCGCCCTACAGATGGCCCTTGCGCCTTGCTTGATCGGCTACGGAGCTATCGCACAACGGCTCTACACGGACAAAGATTCGGTGCGGGAGGGTAACCGGTACTGGAAGTGGGTTGAGAACTATGTCGCCGATGACTACACCGAGGCAGTGCGTCTGGGGTCCGGTAAGCAAGGCCTTGAGATCTCCCCTTCCCTGCAGGAGGCGAAAGATGAAAGATGGGGGCGATGGGGACCCGCTGACATGACGAATTCTAGAATTGCTTGAAAAGCATATGCGAGAGGTTTCGCCCAGTCGGATGGAGGAATTGATTAAGATTTTCGTGCGGGCGACGGAGTTGGAGATCAGATTCTGGGACATGGGTCTGGGTGGTGGCGAATCTTGTTAGCGGTGGGACTATTCACTCTTTCAGTTTTGGATATGACGGACGGACTATGGTGAATGTTGCTTTGGAAATGGAGAGATCATTCAAGATTGTGTATGACTAGAGTACATAGATAATAACTGGACTACTAAGCATGACGATCGACTCGACTAATGAATGATGAGACTCTATTTATGAGCATGTGCATTGTGTACAGGAAAAAGTGTACAAGGAGATACAAACAAAGAGACTGTTTCATCCATTGAAAATGAATGGACTTAAAAGTCACTAAAAGTACCCAGCCTCAATGGACCAATTAGTCAGAGTGCCAGTAAAAAAAAGGCGGTGTTAGTTGCCTCTACGCTATGCCCGATCAGGCGGTGTTTTGCCTCCAGTCTTTCTCTTTTTTTTCTTCCATTGAAAGATCCCGCCTTCCCCCCCCAAGTCGCCTTCCTTTTCTTCTTTTTCTTCCTCCTCCTTCCCTCCTCTCATCCTCATTCTTCCTTCCCTCATCCTATAACACATTTTTTTCTCATCTCTCTTTCCCTCCTATCTGTCTCTTACTCCTTATCACCTTCTTTTGTCATATCCTCTCGTCTCCTAGAGGGTGTGTCGCATCGTCTGATCTTATCTTCAGTCGTTTCTCTCTTTCTCACCGTCTTCTTATTTGGCTTACTTTGCCTTCCAATTTCAAAACTTCCACTTCACACAACAAAAACCTCAAGCATGTCTTCCTACAACGGCGGCGGCAGCGGCGGCGGTGGCGGCGGCTACCAGCGTGATTCTTACCGGTATGTCATTATTAGGATTCCTTGTGTTCCCCTCCTTCTAGGTCAGCAATAACTAACATCTCAGCAGCTCCCGCGGCGGCGGTGGTGGCTACGGTAACGGCGGCGGCTACAGTGGTGGTGGTGGTGGCTACGGAGGTGGTGGTGGTGGTGGCTATGGCGGCGGTGGCTATGGCGGTGGTGGTTACGGTGGTGGCCGTGGAGGCGCTGGTGGTGGTGACAGAATGTCCAACCTCGGCGCTGGCTTGAAGAAGCAAGAATGGGGTAAGTTCGCCGGTTCCACTTCAGTCCCTTTGCAGTCACTAATATGAATTTACCAGACATGGACTCCCTTCCCAAGTTCGAGAAGTCCTTCTACAAGGAGCACCCCGATGTTGCTGCTCGCTCGCAGCGCGAAGTCGACGAGTTCCGCAAGAGCAAGGAGATGGCTGTCCAGGGCAAGAACGTCCCTCGCCCCGTTGAGACCTTCGACGAGGCTGGCTTCCCTCAGTACGTCCTGAGCGAGGTCAAGGCCCAGGGCTTCGATCGCCCTACCGCCATCCAGTCTCAGGGTTGGCCTATGGCCCTCTCTGGTCGTGATGTTGTCGGTATCGCTGAGACTGGTTCCGGAAAGACCCTGACCTACTGTCTGCCCGCTATCGTCCACATCAACGCCCAGCCTCTGCTCGCCCCTGGTGATGGACCCATTGTCCTCATCCTTGCCCCCACCCGTGAGTTGGCGGTTCAGATCCAGGCCGAAATCTCCAAATTCGGCAAGTCCTCCCGTATTCGCAACACCTGTGTCTACGGTGGTGTGCCGAAGGGTCCTCAGATCCGCGACCTTAGCCGTGGTGTTGAGGTCTGCATTGCCACTCCTGGTCGTCTGATTGACATGCTCGAGGCTGGCCGCACCAACCTTCGTCGTGTCACTTATCTCGTTCTGGACGAGGCGGATCGCATGCTGGACATGGGTTTCGAGCCTCAGATCCGCAAGATCATCTCTCAGATTCGCCCTGACCGTCAGACTTGCATGTGGTCCGCCACTTGGCCCAAGGAGGTCCGTCAGCTTGCATCTGACTTCCTCAACGACTACATCCAGGTCAACATCGGTTCCATGGACCTCTCTGCCAACCACCGTATCACTCAGATCGTCGAGGTTGTTTCAGAGTTCGAGAAGCGTGACCGCATGATCAAGCACCTCGAGAAGATCATGGAGAACCGTGGCAACAAGTGCTTGATCTTCACTGGTACCAAGCGTATCGCTGACGAGATCACCCGCTTCCTCCGCCAGGACGGATGGCCCGCCCTCTGTAAGTCTTTTTGACTCCTCTTCCTACCGAAATATCTGCTAACATTTGTGTCTCAGCCATTCACGGTGACAAGCAACAGCAAGAAAGAGATTGGGTTTTGAACGAATTCAAGACTGGCAAGAGCCCAATCATGGTGGCTACCGACGTGGCTTCCCGTGGTATTGGTATGATGATATTGCAAACTCCCCCCCTCCCCCTCCCCTCCCCTTCCTTTGTCGCCTGCAAGGCACCACCCGATTGAGGTTGTGTGACAATGGCACGGTGCTCGACTCTCTTCCACCCTAAGTTGGTGTTTAAATGACTCGTCCAGGCTATGTCGGGTCTCCTGAAATGGTTCTCAAGCCAGGAGAACCTTGGACTCACAGTGCAGTGTAGCAGATGTTACTAGTATCTCTGTTCTGATTCACCCGTCTATAACTTGTGATCTCGGTTGGTAGAGAGTTGGGGTTCTTTCTCTACCGACCTATTGAACGCTGCATTCCAAGGTTGCTCTAGGACCGCGATTTTGCCACCCCTTGGACTCGTCCTCTACGGATCTTCGATGAAAGTCCCGAAAGAAGAGAGAGTGATGCATCAAGTCTCACACGACTGAGAATGGGCACCTCCTCGGCCACGTTGCTCGCTTGACTAATGCTCTGTTTGCTAACGTTACGTGTTTTTCTTAAAGATGTTCGCGACATCACCCATGTGCTGAACTATGACTACCCCAACAACTCCGAGGACTACGTTCACCGCATTGGTCGTACTGGTCGTGCCGGAAACAAGGGAACCGCTGTCACCTTCTTTACCACTGAAAGTAAGTTAGCCTCGAACGGTCTCCTTGATGTACTTGCGCTAACCCATCTCTTGCAGACTCTAAGCAGGCTCGTGACTTGGTCACCATTCTCACTGAGGCTAAGCAGCAGATCGATCCCCGTCTTGCTGAGATGGTTCGCTACAGCGGCGGCGGCGGTCACCACGGTGGCCACGGTCGCTGGGGTGGCCGTGGCCGCGGCCGTGGTGGTAACTACACCGCGTCCAACGCCGCTCCCCTCGGCGGCACCCGTCGTTGGTAAACTGTTCCTGACGCCCAGTTCAGTCACTGAGCTTGTATTTTTTCACACTGGTAGACCTGCTTTCCCTTTCGTCCTTGCCTGCGCATGATTATCCGGCTTTTTCCCTTTCGTAATTCGGTACGGGCGGCGTTCGTCGATATCACGATAGACTCTTTACGTTGCGTGTTTTTAACCATATAGGAGACACCTTGGTTCCTTGGGATCAGGGGTCATCGGTCACACCCCGGTTTGTGGGTATGCGTTAATTTCTGTTTTCTGTGTGTTCTATCACAAAAGTTCTGTATCTCCGGCTTGACATGCAGCAACAGCTGGTTCTTAGATAGTGTGTAGCTTTTTTCCTTTGCATACTGATAATTGGAGAAAATGTACCTATCTGAAATTAATCCCGAAACGGCACTATTTGTGTCAGGATAGATCCATGTATGATAGGCTTCATTGAGACGGTAATAGGATCCAGCGGCAGTCATGCAGCTTATGCGCAGTCGGCCGTACGACTGGGCTACCGGCATTAGTGCCTGCAGGGGAATACGTGACGTTATAGATGGTCTGGTTTGTCGTAGCGGCGGGAGGTGCAGCGGCTGCAAACAAACCACCAAGCATGTGCATCCGTGATACTTGGCCCCGGGTACCGGGACTGGAAGCTATTGTATCGAGTAATCGGTAACCGACTGTTACGGTCTAGTCAGTCATCCAATTGTAATTTGATCTGGGTGACGGCGCAGTCGCGACGTATTCTTTTGCCTCGCCTGCTCCAGTTATTAGACTGGTTCATGAGACATACTTTAAAGGGAAGTGACTATCTCACCCACTCCTATTTTTTAGTGGCTGGCTGACTATCTACTCATCAATCCACGAATTTGCATGCTACGGCAGACAGTACTTACCCTCTTTCCGCAATGGATAAAAAAAATGCCCCCAAATAAATACAAGAGTCATTCATGCTATAGACTGAGCACAAACAAAAAGGAATTGAAGGTCCAGAAGACCCATTTGTTCACACTCCGATAGGGGGAATCGAACCCCCGGCTGCCGTGTGAGAGACGGCGATGTTAGCCACTACACCATATCGGATGTTGTTGAAAAACGTTTTGAAACTTGACACTATAGTCAATTGTATTATGCAAGAAGTATAGCAGCAATGGTGGTGGTGGTGGTCATCGTGAGGTCAGAGGGATTCAAGGTTGGTGGTTATCTGCGGGATGCGGAGTTACTGGCTATCTGATTGTGAGGTTGGTTCGGGCCTGAGGGCTTGTGATGTGGTGTCGTGTATTGGGGGTTTGGGGTGGATTTTGGTGTTCTGGGGGTGGGCCTGTCTTTTCGTTCGGTTGGTGCTGTGGTTTTTTTTAAAAAATTTGATTTTATTTGTGGTATCGAGGTGGTTGAGAGGGTGGTGGGCTTTGCGTCTTTGTGGGTTGTTGTTCTCTGTCTGGTCTGCAGGGTCTTCGCATAATTATATACTTCTGTAGATCCGCACGGGGGGATATCAAACATCACAGAGTAATGGAGAGCGTGAAAAAATCCCACGAGATTTAGCGCGTAGGCATGTATGCTCCACACGCGGTGAAAATCTGGGAGGAGAGTATATTCACGCGATGGCATATTTGTCTTCCCCATACGACAGACATACACGAGGACTACTAAGCAGATACCAGCGGTATACACCCAACTTAAATGCATACAGGTCCGGGATTGTTATGATGAATCATGCTACGGAGTCTTACCTGCGTCAGTCTGAACTAAAAGCATACAAACCATAGTTTGAAGCTGACGTTTTTCCACTAGATCATCAATGAGTTTCCCCCCCACCTCCAATTAACGACAGACCACCCTCACTTCGACCACTCCCTCAGCTTCCCCTCCAACACACCCGCAAGAATCCGATGCACATGGCTCGTCAGATGCCCCGAGTTGAACCAGAAGTACTCCTCCAGCGGGGTCGGACACCCATACGCCCGGTAGTTCCACGCGATATCGGGCTGGTCGTACCCGGGACAGAAGTTGGTGGTGTTGACGATGCCGTACGCGGCGGGGTGGTCCATGATCTCGCTGAGCGTCCGGTGCGCGTCGAACAGGTGCACGGCCGTGTCCGTGTGGTTGCGGTGGAAGGCGGCGGCGTGCCGGGCCAGCGCGTCGTTGTACCAGGCGACCTGCGTGGCGTTCGGGTAGGGCTGGCTTAGGGCCTGGTTGCCCGGGGTGCGGTCGAGGGGCGGCAGGTTGACGAACAGGTAGGAGCGATAGCCCTGGGCGTAGATCTCCTGGACGGAGGCGAAGAGGGTGGTGATGAGGGTGTCGTAGAAGGCCGGGAAATCGACGGCGTATTTGGCGCTGTCGCCGATGTCGTTGATCCCGATCCAGATGGCGACAAGGGTCTGCGGCGCGGAGATGTGCCGCGAGAGGACCGGCTGGCCGTAAATCGTGAATTGGGTGACTTGGTTGACGAGGGAGACGGTGTAGTTGTGGTGGAGGGGGGTGCTGTTGGGGTGATGGGGGTGTTAGCTCCCCGCAAGTCTTATGTTTCGTCTACAAGGAGGTAAGTTACGTACTATGCAACGGAGATATCAGATCCCGCGAACGCGAAGTCCCAGAGTTGTCTCTCGCAGTCCAAGGGTGAGATGATTCCATCTTCTACCCCGCACCCGGTGAGGTATTCAACCCAGTTGGGGCCTCCTTCTGCCGTTGCTGTCTACATTTCGTCCGGGACATTCGGTCAGTGACTGAGATAGAACTTCTGAGCCATAGCCGCGGGATAAGCGCCAGATAAACATGGTTTCAAACCTGGTTCTGAACGATCTTATCCGTTAATAGGGTCTGAGCATCATATGCGAAGTTCTGCAGATCCCCGATGAAGCTATAGTTTTGGTGTCCGTGAGTTCCCTGCACGTACGTATAGGAATCACCGAACGCTATTCTGAGGTTCAAGTATCAGCCAGAGGTAGTGGATACATTTTGCCCAGGGAAACACCAACAGGTATTTCGTCGAGTCCCAGTCGAACGCCTTCTTCTGAGACGAACCGGATGGGATTGCTGATACTGTAGGGATGGCCGCGAGGGCCAGGCACTGCCAGAGAGCAAGCATGGCTATGGCTCGAGTGGAAGTCCTTTCACAAGGTAAAAGGCTGTCTGCAGCACAAGTAAACAGGGCCTGCCCAACGCCGTCTCTACGATTTCTTATACACACTGCAGATGCGAGGGGACTCGCGCTTTGGATAATAACCACCGCACTCGACCCCGCATAGAGATCCTGATTGCGGAGAAATCGCAGCCATGCAGCTGCGGCTAGACGGACAATAATTTTCCACTTGTCAATCTTGTAGGTAGCGCATCCAGTGGACTTTGGCTAAGCCGACCAGCATCTCAGACGCAAAGCTTGACTTGGTTTTCCCCCGCCTAGAGGAAGAGCATCGTGCCATCAGGTGAACGTTCGCGGGCCTGACAGAGTCAACCCGTCAGACAAACCTGCGACTTCGCTTGCCCACGGAGGCCTCTCCCCCGGCAAATTGGCGTTGCTCCGTAAGTCAGCAGAAGAGACCTCGGATGCAGCAGGAATACCAGGAGAGAGTCACTTTTTGGCGAGCTGATAACTGCTAACCGAGGTCGGCAAAAATGGCGACATCCAGAATTCGCCAGCTGCCTCGTTGATGGAGGAGGGCCTGGTCCCCAGATGCTAACCGGACCAAGATTTGCCGATCCGCGAGCGAGCGAGGCCAAGGCCGTCCGGGGTCGGAGAGAGAGGCTCAACTGCGGGGGGGGGGGAAGGTGGTGCCTATCAGTCATGATTTGAGATTGCGAGGATTTTAGCCCGGTTTGCTCCCCTACCGTATTGCCGTGCTTGTCTTAGAAGGTCCCGGGGGAGGATGAGGAGTATCATTTCCGAGACCTAGTGGTTTCACTGGCTTGAGAGCATGGTCAGTTGTTGAAGCAAGACAGATGTTTCTGTTTCCAACCCAAGCACAACGAAAGTGGACTCCGGCTGAACAATTTCCATTATGAGAGGGAAAACGTGATCGAATGGAAGGAGGGTCATGTTATCGCGGTGGTGGGCGAAAATCCAGGGTGGGAGGCATTATCTTACCGTAAGATAATCGCGTAATTAACCCACCGTGACAAATCCTCCGGATTTTCCCAGATGTGGGTCAAGTCAATCCCACCTCATCTGCGCTGAGTGGATTGAGTCAGGAGGTCCATATCAACTCAATTGGGGTTGATGATTGTGGTTGTCTTGATGGTTGTGATGATGGTGGTGGTGCTGTTGTTCTTGAGTGTGGTCATTCGAACATCAGGGATGCTCCAGGCAGCATAAATCATATTGGAAGGGACCCCTAACACCATTTACCATCCAGGGCACTACTGAAGAGTATATCAAGTAGCCGAGCAATGCAGGTTTCTGCAAGCCAAGGTCTTCCGCGACATGGGTGGGAGGAATGGGAGATGGGATGAAGATTGAAATGTACCTCGGTGTGCCTCTCAGAGCCCAGAGGAAGAAAGTTGGGTACGGAGTACGGAGTCACGGTACAGTTGTTAGTTAGTTACTTGTGAGGTATGTTCATGTAAGCGGGACCTCACAGCTCTTGCGGGTACTTGTAACTATCTCGACCACAGGACGATACCGGTAAGTATCACTATGTACCGGAAACTGGGTCTCCTTGGTCTCGGTCAAATACCGCTACGCTAGGCTAGGCTTACCACTAGTGGGATCATTTTCCCATCCACTGCGAATCAGCGGCCTGGAAGCAAATGCAGCTTTAGGCAAATACCCGCTTATCCCAATCAGGTTAGAGGTACGGCGAAGTCACAAAACGTCAGGGGAACCGGGGAGGAAGAAGGTTGAGAGAAAAAAAGAAAAGAGATAGAAAGTATGTGTTACTTGTGTTTATGGCTCGGGTACTGTTAGGCGGTCCTGGTCCTGATGGTTCATATGCGGAAGTCGGGATATCCGCCGATAGTGTCAAATCGACAAAAGAATGTTAATAATATTATGGAAAGCAAAGGACTCCAAGGCTCAAGCTTAAGGAAAGCCTAGACACTACAGGACTAGTCCACCCACCTATGAACTAACGTAATAAGAAACAATGGATGGCATGAACCGACGCTGGTCAGCTAGCCCCCAATAATGCCCATGCCTATGCCCATGCCTACCTTAGTCCATGCCTCGCCAACCGACCGACCGACCGACACGCTTCTCAGCCTGACCTGCTTTTAGAGCAGGCGTAGAATATGCATGGAACATGTAACCTTTCGCCATAGTGGCAAAGCAACGCAAGTAGAGAGGCAAAAAGTAATCTAACCGACAGCATACTCATAAATAGGTTATACTCTGTACTCATGACAGAAAGCGTCGAGGTATTACGGCATGCTGAGGATGGGCCTGCATTGGACCCAATTTGGTAAAGGGATAGTGACTCCCCATACAGAAGGAGAATAAACCCTCACGAGTCGTCCAGATTCAATAGCTAATTCTTGGCGGGATTTCCGGCCGAAGACAGTAGGTATATCGACCTTGAGACATTCACCATATCAATGAATGGCTCAAGCGAAGTCCCGACAATTGAACAGTGGTCTCTGTCCGTTCATTGTTTGTTGCTGCTGCTGTTGCTGCTACTGGTGCTTGTTCAAGTGATGTTACCTTGGGGAAAGTGTCTTGATTTATCCTATTGGTGCTTTTATTCTGGATGAGACTTCTTACCCTTTTTATTTTATTTATTTGCGCAGAATAATCATTCTTTGATGCAAAGCCTCCCATCACGTCCATCATCCATGACCTTTGATCGCCCGAGTAGTGGCCCACTTAAGATTGTTGTTGCTGTTGGTCTGGTCGAATACACCTACCGAGTACAACAATCTGCTTGGCAGTCCGAGAACCGGGCCGGACCCGGAGCCAGTCAGTAACTATACCACTACGTACGTACTGTACGTACTGTACTTTGGTTTCTACCATAAGTTCAGATGCTCACGGCAGGTCGGAACAAAGTGGGATCGTCTAATTGCGCCGCTGATCGCGCGATATGCTGTTAACTTGATCTCCAACTCAAGCTCATGCCCACCCCCTCCGTGGCTCACCCGTCAGTGAGAGCGGCGAGAGTGGAACCGAGTTTGGGTCTGTCTTTTTACACCCAGCTATCTCAAGGTGCTCTTAGCGTAACTACGACTGGATCGAGGTTCAAAAAAACTCACCATAGAGGAAATCGATAATGCTCTCATTGGACGTCCTTGCTGCCTTTCCTGCCACTGTTCTGGGTGGGACATCTGAATTCAAGAGATGGGGGGCGGCGGTTCCCGAATCGTTTTCCGAACGTCCCTCCGGCGTCAAGACTTATGTATCAACATAGCGACCTGCGCCAAACAACCCTATCCATGGCTCCATTCTTCGATCCACATCGAGGCTCGGAGACAGAGCCGCAGAGCCGTGTGGAAACCTGAAAGATGTCCATTTCCATCCCAGAGTGTCCTCCCTGGTCACTTCTGAGTTTCGCATGTCGGTCGGTATTGTATGGCATGGGTCATCGACCGTCCACCAAGGTAGAGAGCTCTCGGCAAGTGGTAGCTGTGTGGTCCTGTCTTCCATCGTGTTCTGAGCAAGCACAGGTAGCTGGTGGCAGGCGAGCAATGTCCCAATCAATCTACCTTCATCTTTGATACGCATAGGTAGTATGTTCATCTTTCAGTTCAAGGGTATGTTTCTCCACACCCACTAATTAACGGCGCATCTAGTTAGCAGATCTTTGTATGAGAACCTAGGCACAGGGACGCAGAGACGAGATGAGAAGAGAAGGCACTAGGTCACTGGCTCTCTTTGTTCGGTTTAACTGATACTGCATGGGTATCATTTTGACCCTGCCAGGTGCCAGGTGCGCTCTGCTCCGCGGAGAGAAGCGTGGTCACGTGGTGTAAATGGGCTCATGTCATCAAATGGACCTTTAGCTCCTCCAGCTGTGCTATCCACCTTCCATTTCCGGATAGTATCGCGCTTCGGAAGTGTCAGGGCGGCCGCCGCTTGATCTGGTGAGACACCGCTGTCAACTACTAGCCAACTACAGGACTCTGAGTCTGCGCACGTGGAGCACTTCAGATCACGCTTAAGGCTTAGAGCGATGAGGCAGGTAGCTTGAAGCTCTGCCCGTGGCTATGCTGCCTGGTCACAGAGCACAGTACGGAGTAGTGTATGGATTCTGGAGCTTTAGCCATCGGGCCCGCGAGTCAGGGACGTACCGAAAGCGAGAAAGACCAACCTCGCTTATCATTGGCAGACCGACCAGTATGCGCATCCCATGCGGAATAAGGGAAGTGTTTCATGCAGCACGCAAGCAACAGCCATCACAAGCCAGAGGTGAATAAAGCGATCAATGGAGTGGGTAAAGGTAAAAAAAAGGGGAAAAAAAGATATGGGACGAAATGATGCAGCGCTGCAGCTCTACATCATCGATGGGCCAGAACTGACAGATTGCCCCTTTCATGTGCATATGGATGTCCGTCGGAGAACAATAACGATTGATGATTTGAGAGCCGCTCTCGACCACTGAAAGCTCTCTCGCCAATGTGTTGTCAGAGTGGGCCTTGAGTCACACTTTATAGAAAATTCATTACAAGAGCGATACACTCACACGTTACTCATGATGGTTGCATTGTTGAGACCATTGCTCTGAACCGTAGGGCGATCAAGATATTGTGTCCAAGCAGCCAGAGGTTGAGCTGGATGACATTATTTTGGCCCAAGCCTCACAAACCCATTCATCACTGTAGTGCCGGGAACACTACTGCTAGTCTATGGTCACAGCTTCACACCGATGAGGAAGGGTTGCTTGTTCAATTGTTGGTCTGGCTATCGGCGGGCTACCCCAAGGGCGCCTGTGGGTCAGGTATCAGTACTAATCATGGTGGCTAGTCACTCTTAGGAAAGGTCCCGATCGACGGGCAGTCATCGCTTGAGTTTAAGGTAGTCGGCCAGCATCCGAAACAGTAAGATACTTACTAAGGCCTTACATAGCGAGGGTTAGTTACCGCGTAAGTACAGTACTTACCAGCTATATGGTATCATTACTCTGTATTCAAGTTACCCCATGTATACGGAGTAATATCCGG